GAAAGTGTTAAATCGGTGTACTGTGCAAAATAATCGAGCGCGGAAAAACGTCAATCGAATGCCCCCGCATATTTCTCGCGCCGGCAGCCGAAACTTTTAGAGCATAAAACGTGAAACGTTGCACCTCACGGAAGTAACCTAATGCCCGTTTAATCCGGCATAGTGAGTGGGAGGTGTCGGTGCATAGTGTACGTGCACCGAGGTAACTGCACGTATGCGCTTCGTTTCGACTTTCAACTGGAAGTCGACGTCCGACATTACGCTCGGCCGGCGCGTCCACCCTTTCTTTGTCGTTCTCCCTCGCCTTCCTCCTCCCTCTATCGAGGGATTAATTTTTCTTTTTTTTTTTTCCTAACGAAACGTTTTAGGCGTGGAATTTCTCCGAGCGCGATCGCATAATAGGCCGAGCATGAAACGCACGCAGAGCGAGGTCCTTATCGTGGCCACGGGCTCGCAGACCGAGAAGCAGCGAGGAAGTGGCAGTATCGAGCTACATCCTCCTTTGGGCTGTTCCTGTTTTCCAGTCTGATCGTCGATCGAGACGAACGCGGATTACTCCGAAGTGGCTAGTGAAAATCCGCGGGAACTCGACGAATTTCCCACAAAAATCATCAAGCAGAGCTGAAAAGTCGAGGAATCGACGCCCTTAATAGCGCGAAGGAAAAGGGCCCCCAGAGAGCAGAGATATACCGCAACGACTGCGAATTTATCGAGAACATCGCCGGACGCGATAACGAGCTAATTACGGCGGCTCCACCTGAACATATTTATCCAGCCAGTTTTTCAATGCGCCGACTAAATCAAACCCCTCGTACGAGTTGTTAAGGCGATGTAAAAGGCAACGAGACTGGTGACCGGGACGCTATGTTGGTTGTGTGGTGAAAACTACCGAAGGAAAAACATGGGATTTTTGTTTAGTGCCGAGACCGGTCTCAGTATCTCCGTAATCGCGTGGTAAAGGTTCGGGGGAAATCGGTCGAAGCGTTTTTCGAAAAAGTGCGTGTACCGAATCTGGTCGTCACCGGTCGGTTAAGTATCTTTTGCCTCGCCTTGAGGCTCTTTTTCGAGGAACGATGAGGAATTCTCACCCGAGGGAGCCGTTTCGCCCGAGGAGGGGCAGCGAGCCGGCCGATCCGAATTCGAGGTTCGATCGGTTATCGATCTCCTCGTTCGGCGATCGGTCGGGGATGCGCCCTGCGACTCGCTGCATAGCCCGACCCACCAGGGACGACTGCAACGGACGAGCTCATCCCTCGCGACAATCCTCGTGGCAAGAGTATTGGGCACGGTACGGCCAAACTGAAGCCCCCTCTCGTTGTCCGATTCGCAGCCCTTTCAGCACTTTTTGGCTCTTCCGGGTACTTTCTTATTCTAAAACGGCGTGCCGGCTCGGCTAGGCATTTCGGGTCGCCTCGTCTCTCCCCTCGGTCTTTCTCTCTCTCTCTCTTTTTCTCACTTCAAAGTTCCCCCTCCGCGCTTTCAAGTGCCCGGGAGAAAATTACACAAGACCCGTTACTCTCTGTTTCCGCAGCCTCGATCTGAATGTCTCTGCAGAATAGGCTCAAAGCACTCGTTAGACGTTTTCTTTGGACTCCGGGCCTCCTTCATTTTTTTATTATTTTTTTTTAATCATTTTCGAAAGAATCTTAACCAACCATTTTCTTGCTACTCTCCTTTATTCTTAAAATCACCTCAAGATTTGTTTGCAAAAACGCCCTGATTTCCCGGAAATTACGTTTATTCGTGAACCCTCGTTAGATGTTTCCTTTTTTTCTGTAGACTTGGCGGGCGAGGGATCGAAACTCCTCGGCGGAGTTTTTTCGCTTTTTTTTTTCTCTCTTTAATTTCGATATCCTCTCGCTTTTTTCATTTTTTCTTGGCGGTTAGTTCTATTTTTAAGGTCGTTTAAAGTTATTGAAGAAGGAAGGATGTTTGGTTTCCCGGAAACTGCGGCGCAGCGGAGCGCTTACCCGTGAACCTGTTCCGTTTCCTTCGAGCAGAACCGCGATCGAACTTGCGGTTTTCGGGCCGACGTGTGCATAGGCGAGGGTGGATGCAACACGCCCGTTTGCTCGTACGTGCATGCCCATCTCGCTTATCGACTCTTTCCATCGGAACCGCGATGTATACGCTCACGCGGGTGTTGGGGAAGGAATTACTGGGCCGCGTGTATGCATCACCGCGGCCTTATCGGGGTCAAGGACTCCTCCGCCCGGTTTTTACCCCGACGAGCCTTTTTCTCTCCCGAGGGGTTCGCGATTCCGGAATTAAGGCCCGATAATTCGCCGCCGCCGATCCCGAGATTTTAAACGGTTTTTTTCCCGCCACTCTGCCCCGCACTTTTGTCTCCGGAGAGTTCGGTGCCTCGTGGATGGCACTCAACGAGCAAGAGCAAACGCGGGAAAAGGGAGGAGGAAAAAATCGGAATAAAAATTGCCGATCAACGAAGAGGTCGCTGAGGAGGCGAGATGGATTTTGGGTCACGTTTTTTGACGGTTAATTTATAGACAGGGACTGGGAAAGAGTCCTTTGGGTTTCACGAAACATCGCGACTTTTCGGCGTCTCGTGGATGACACTCGACGAGCGAGAGTAAACGCGGGAAAAGGGAGGAAGAAAAATCGGGAAAAAAAAATTGCCGATTAACGAAAGAGGACGCCAAGTCGGCAGGATGGATTTTGGGCCACGGTTTTCAACGGTTAATTTGTAGGCATGGGCTGGGAAAGGATCTTTTAAGGATCTGTACACTGCGACTTTTCGTCGTCCCGTGAATGGCACTTGAAGAGTAAGAGCAACCGAGGGAAAAGGGAGGAAGAAAAATCGGAAAAAAATTACTAATCAACGAAAGGGGTTGCCGAGGAGGCGAGATGGATTTTGGGCCACGTTTTTCGACGGTTAATTTATAGACAGGGACTGGGAAAGTGTACTTTGGGTTTCATGAAACATCGCGACTTTTTGGCGTCTCGTGAATGACACTCGACGAGCGAGAGTAAACGCGGGAAAATGGAGGAGGAAAAATCGGGAAAAAAAATTGCCGATCGACGAAAGGGGTCGCCAAGTAGGCGAGATGTATTTTGAGACACGGTTTTCGACGGTTAATTTATAGGCAGAGGCTGGGAAAGATTCTTTTAAGGATCTGTATACTGCGACTTTTCGACGTCCCGTGAATGGCACTTGAAGAGTAAGAGCAACCGAGGGAAAAGGGAGGAGGAAAAATCGGAAAAAAATTACCAATAAACGAAAGGGGTCACCGAGGAGGCGAGATGGATTTTGGGACACGGTTTTCGACGGTTAATTTATAAACGGGCTGGGAAAAAGTCCTTTAGGTTGCATGAAACATCGCGACTTTTCGGCGTCTCGTGGATGACACTCGACGAATAAGAGCAAACGCGGGAAAAGGGAGGCGGAAAAATCGGGAAAAAAAATTGCCGATCGACGAAAGGGGTCGCCAAGTAGGCGAGATGGATTTTGGGTCACGATTTTCGACGGTTAATTTATAGATAGAGGCTGGGAAAGGATCTTTTAAGGATCTGTGCATTGCGACTTTTCGACGTCCCGTGAATGGCACTTGAAGAGTAAGAGCAACCGAGGGAAAAGGGAGGAAGAAAAATCGGGAAAAAGTTACCAATCAACGAAAGAGGTCGCGAGGAGGCGAGATGGATTTTGGGCCACAGTTTTCGACGGTTAATTTATAGGCAGGAGGTCAGAAAGAGCCTTTTAGGTTGAAAGATCGGAAAAAAATTTACGATCAATGGGAGTGGTCGCGAAGTTTGCAGGGTGGATTTTGGGCCAAGTTTTTCGCCTACGTTAATTTATACACGGGGACTCGAAAAGGACCTTTGAGTTATACGAAACGTCGCGATTGTTCGTTTTGCTGCGCGGCATAAATGGAGCGCATTCCACGTGCTCGCGTGCGCACGCCGGACCGACATGGAAACCTTGGAAAGCTTTACATTCTGACTTGTCTCAACGTTTGCCGAGTCATAGAGTCGCTGGAGACGTAAAAGCGCAGTTTTCGCTGCGACTGGGAAACGGGTTTACGAGCTGGAATTATCGCTACGAAATTATTTTTTTTTTTCTAATATTCCTCTTTGTCAAGAATAATTTCCGAAGGGGAAACGCCGCTCGATTCTCTCGCAATTCGGGCTCTAATCGGGCGAATCGAGGGCGAATTTTTTTTTTTTCGCCCTCTGAAGAGGAATTACTCTGGAGGAAATTTCAGCTGTTATTCTCTTTAACGAGTTCAAATTCACCCAGCAATTTTTTTTCGCTTCGAAATTTGCCCGAAAGAAGATTACGTCATGTCTGGTGGTTCAGGAGTAACGCACGAAAAAGAAAAGGGAGAGAAAAAAAGACCGAGTTAAATGCTCGATTTCACTTTGAGAGGTGATTTCACCACGCAAACCCGTTTCCTAGTCGGGATTGAAAAAGGACGGATTTTTGTGTCTTGGACCACGTGCCGGCGAGATTTCAGCGAGCAGTAAAAAGATCGACCAGTTCTCTCGGCGGAAAAATCGAAATCCGATTTATGCCCACTCGCAGGAACGGTTTATATCGGCGGGACTTAACCGGGCTGGTCGGTTTTGAGGGGAGAAAGATAAGAAAGAAAAACAAAACACGCGCGATTTGGGTATGCAAAACGCGCTAATCGGGCCCATCTCGGTTTTGTTAACTGCAAATCTACGAAGTGTCTCGGTGAACTTCCTCCCGTGCCAATTGGTCACTCGTGTTCACACGTGATGCAGGGCCTCGTTGCGTCACCGCAAGCTCAAATGATCGTTAACTTTAATTTATGGCAGTGCTTCTAGCCTGAGTTAGCAAGTACGCGTGGGCTTACCTAGACCCGTAATTCGCGAATTGATAACAGTCTCATGGACCGGACACACGATTTCAGCGAGGCCCAGATTGGTCGACAATGAACTCTCGCGATCCCTGAAATAAAATCTCAATTAATTTACCTTGTAATATTTTTTTAATTAACGTAGAATCGCTTTATTTACAGCGAAGTCAGCATATCATCGGCTCGCGCCTCGGTGATGGTCTACGACGACGTGAACCGGAAATGGGTGCCGAGCGGAAGTTCCTCCGGGCTGTCGAAAGTCCAACTGTACCACCACCAGGTGAACAACACCTTCCGCGTGGTCGGCAGGAAGCTGCAGGACCACGAGATCGTCATCAACTGTGCGATCCTGAAGGGGTTGAAGTACAACCAGGCTACAGGGACGTTTCACCAGTGGCGGGACAACAAACAAGTCTACGGCCTCAACTTTTCGAGTAAAGACGACGCGGACGCCTTCGCTAGGTCGATGCTTCAGGCACTTGAGGTAAGTTTGCCCTAACTTTGCCTCAGAACATGGGGAACCACCTGCTATCAGACGGCTAATCAAGAAAACGTGATGAGCAAAATCGTTCCTGCTCTCACGATCTAATCCTGCACTGAGAAAAAAGATTAGGTGTTAGATGAAAGGAATTATTGATATATATATTCTTGCCTGAATCATATACAATTGTAAGAAACTAGATATCGGAAGGAAACATCGATGTATATTTAAACGAATTTTGTTTACTCAATCTGACATTTCTTAGGACGCATTTGGTCGCAGGATTTTGTCGTCGCAATGCACATTTCTTTGAGTCAACCAAGTTTTTTTTCTCAGGGTAGTCTTGTTAAAAATAAAAAGCGCAAGACCTATTCTGTCCACTTTCGGACCTATATATTCATTAACTCCGTTCTGTAGAAAAACATCCAAAGCGCCGATGAATTTTTATCGATTTATGGCCGTTTTTGTGCACTTTTGCGCTGACGAGGGTCAACGACGAGCTGGCCTATTTAATCGAATGAAGCGTTTTAATTGAGTACTAACCAGCACCGCCTCAACGCGTAGGTGCTGAGCAACGGAAGCAACATATCACGAACCCTGGGCCCAACAGTCGCTCCAGCAACGCCGCAGCAACCCGTTTACCAGCCGCAGCCGCAGCAACAACAACCAGCCCCTGCACAGTACGACGAGGATATGGGTTACAGGTGAGATTCGTTGCTATCACGAAGATTAGGCTTCCCTTATGGGGCACGTCCATCCACGCCTCTGCGTCCATTGGCCCTTTCGCTGGTCCCCAGACATACGATTCCCGAGTTCTCCATTATTCTCAATGCAAAAGACAAGTTTCCTTCCTCTCCACCGTCAGACTATATCAAATCCGCCAGCAGTGAATTTCCATAAAAGTATTTCTCCATTTTCATCCCGAGTCCCGTACGCTGGTCACGCATTAATTTCTTCCCAGCGGATATCTATCCCGTAATTACGCGAGACGAGAAAAAAAGAACGCGTTAGACTTCCGGCAAGCATAGGTCGTCAATGTCGGTCACGGAATGGTCCCCACTGAATGTTTCTCTTGGGTGGTTGCAGTCAGGTTCAGGGCCAGAACCAGATTCAAGGACATTGTTCGACAGGTGCCATGTCGCGGGCCTCCCTATCGCTCGGCCATCTTGTCGGGGAAGTCCCTGCACCTCTTTCTGTGCCCCCAACCCCCAATCCGTCTCTTAGTAGCGGTAACACCGCCCTCGTTCCGATGGGGTGCAACCCCTGTGCACGTCTCTCGCCAGCTGATAGTCCCATGAGGTGACTTTCTCAATCTAGGGGGGAAGGGCCTAGGTCGTCTCTTCGTTGCGTCTCGCCTTGACTTTCTAGTTCCCCGTCTATTCGATCCCGTTTAAATCTTGTTCTCGCATTTTCTTTGCACGGAATCCACCCATCCAAGACGAGCATGTGCGACCCTATCCACACCGAGGACCCCCGAGTCGAGTCGATTTGACCCTTTGATGCATGGAGGGACACGATCGACAAAAAGAATGAAGTAACTGGATCCCGCGTTTACTTTCCATCCCCTTCGTCTCTTTCTCTCTCTCTCTCTTCGTTTATTTACTCGTTTTTTCGGCCAGGATCGGCAGGACGCAGTCGTCAGATTCATAAGTCGGGTGCGGGCGTAATGGCGGGAAAGTTCCACGGTTCGATAATTGCCGGAGAAGTTGGTTTCGTAGGCCCTTCCCCTCCAACTGGATGTTGAATAGTGCGATGCGTACTCGATGGCTATACGCATACGTATTGTCCGTCGAATTAATTCTGTTTCTCTCTATCTCTATCTCTCTTAGCAGTCCCCTTGTATACCTTTCGCTGAGACTCGCCATTAATGTTTAATGCGCACATGTTTACACGACATTTCTAGGTAGCTGGTTTCTAGAGGTATAACACCCGTTTTATTCATTAACGTTAGTCTAGCTGGCTGACCATTCATGCTTTGCACTAACATTATATACACCGTTAACCGTGTCCATTTGGATGTCCCTAATTCGGCGCTCTTCTGTATAGGACCATGACCAGGGAAGACGTCGCGATAATACAGGAACGCAGGATGTCCCAACAGAGCCAAGGTGAGCCGAAAGGATGTGCGTCGCGATTAAGTGCGTTAGGACGCGCGTGAGTCATTCGTCATCTGCCACGTGGGAAGAACGGTGGTCCTGAGTACTCAAAGTTCCGATATTCACTTGCGATCGGCTCTCGTTTATTAAATCATAACGGATGTGGGGAGAGACCGCCGGACCGGAGGGGATAATTCGAACCCGCAAGCAAATTGGACTTCCAAATTATTTCCGTGGTCAATGCCCACTGATGCTATCCGTTCGCATCCGCTGTCGGATCGCGCATTGGTCTGGTACTTCTTTTACTCTTTCACCGGCCAAAGCTTTCAGAATTAACGGAACGCTGGAATCAGGTATTGCGTGGTATTTCTAGAGTACGTTCACCAGTACCGTTATAAAATCGGGGAGACATCCCGTGTCGCAAAATCGAAAATCGACCTTAACGTGGGAACTCACTCTCGCTTATCTCATGCCCTAATCTCGTTGCAGCAACAAATAGTCCCAGCGCCGTATCGCCGAGCTGCCCGGCAGCAAACCAGCCGCAGCAGCAGCAACAACAACAACAGCAACAACAACAGCAACAACAGCAGCAACAGCAGCAGCAGTCGGGGCACCACCGAACGTCCTCGGCGCCGCCAGCGCCGCAACCACAGCAAGCCGCACTACCGGGGACCCTGACCGCGGTTCCACCTCTGCAAATGTCGGCCGCGGGTCCGCCGGTTCCTCCACCTCAACCCGCTCCTCCGGCTCCGCCGTGTCCGCCCGCGATGATGAACTTGAACGCGCCCGCGCCGCCTCCGATGACGAGCCAGTACGCGTCGCCGCCCCCGCAAACTGGGCTCCCCGGTCAGGCGCAGTCCCAGCCGGTGTACGGTACCGGCCAGGGGGGTGGTCAGTACCCGGCGAGTCAGGGGGCTCAATACGCTACGGCCCAGGGCCCGGGCCAGTATCCGACTGGGGGTCAGAACAGCCTCTATGGGAGCAACGGTCAGGTCGGCGCGTACGGCTCGCCGGGTCCTGCCGTCCAGGCGGGCCAGACGACCGGCCCCTACGCGGCGACCGGACAGGGGGCTCAGTATGCTGCGGCCCAGGGCCCCGGCAGCCAGTTTGGCAGTAGCAACTCGATCAATCAGTACCCCGGGGGGCAATATGGCCAAGGCCAACCTATTTATGGGGCCACCCCGCAGGGCCAGGCCCAGAGTCAGTACGGCAGTACGCAGGCTGGTACCGGCGCCAATCCGTACGGGACCCCCGCGAACCCCGTTAACCAATTCGCTGGCGGTCACGCGGCCACTGTTAACGCTTATGCTCCCGTTGGCAGCAGCGGGCCCCCGCCGCCCCCCATGGGACCGCCGGTCGGGCCCGCCGCCCCGCCTCCGCCTCCACCCCCGCCCGCTCCGAACGCTACCGTCAGCGTCAACGCGACCGCCCCGGCGGCCGGACCGGCGATCGCCAACAGTTGCTCCTCCGACCCGCAACCCGATACCAATTCCCTAGCCGCCGCCCTGCAGGCCGCCAGGCTCAAGAAAAAACAGGTACTCTCTTCCTAGGCCGAGTTAATTTTCGCTGGGTTAAGGGTTATGGTGGTATGAAAGTGCCGGTAAAGAGGTCTCGTTTATGAAACTTTTCTTTGTACTGGATTTACCGAATTGTTTCAAACTTTAAAACGTGACAATGAAGGCTTTGAGAAACGACCTGATACCCACAAAATTCCACTTTTAGCACAATTTGTTTATAAATATTTAAAACTTTTTTTTTTAAGTCGAATTCCATGGGTGTCAGAACCTTCATTATAGCTTCTATATTCATATTATACAGTTTGAAATGATTCGGCATATCTAGTTCGGAGAAAAGGTTCATGAACGATTGACCCCTCGGATACCACTTCCACATCCCCTTAACTGTACTCATACTGGATCTACCACCTAAAAGAGGGTAATGAGAGAGAAGGAATAGGCGTACTTGTGTATTTTTCTCGCATGAGTTTTTTTTTTTTTCTAATTTTGGTGGTGTTTAGATCGTAACTGTGCAGGCTTCAGTTGAAAAACACGATAGTACGAATAACCATGGGACTCTCTCTCTCTCCCCCTTATGGATAATGATGTATTGGATGGTTGAATGCGGTCCAGTATGACTGTTTCCGGCCAATGTCTTATTCATTTTGGATTTGTATATTTACTGAGGATTTTTTTCTTGGAATGGACAGCAATCACAACCTGTGGAGAACAGTGGATCCAGCACCAGTAGCAGCGGCAGCGGGGGTGGAGGAAATTACGGAACCCTCGGCCGGGGTGGCGGTGGAGGAATGGCTTCCATGATGGACGAGATGGCCAAAACGCTGGCACGCAGACGCGCCGCCGCAGAAAAGAAACAACCCGAGCAACCACCGGTTAATATCTCGACTGCTCTACTACCCACTTTTAATGAGTTTTCGCGTCCGACTTTATATCTTTATAGCCTGGCATACCTAATGAGGCGATCTTTCGAGGAGACAAAAAGTAGAGCACTGCACACACAGATTTATTGGCCGTAATAAGTTCTACCGATAATCCGGGATTTGTGAGCTTAAGGACCCGTGATCGGCGATCGAATATTTATATATATTCAGTTTTACGTTGAATGTTGAATCTTATTGGGCGGATATTTTTATAGGAACCGGAAAGTTCTCCCGATAAGAAGTCGTGGGACAAGAGCTCTTCCAACAACAAGTTCTCGAACGGTGCAGAGTCACCAAAGACGGCGCGCAAGAGATTCGGCTCCGCTTCCGAAGAAACGCTTCTGAAAGTTAACGGGGTGAACGAGGGATCCCTGTTAACGGTCCAAGAAATGGAGGCTTTTAAAGCAGAAATAGTCAAGGAAGTTCGCAAGGAGTTCCAAAAAATGAAGCAAGAGCTCATCGATGGTAAGTATGTCTCATACGAGTTTTATAGATAAAGGCACATCGATGCTTCACGGTGGGGCATTAATTCAAAAGGCATTAATTGAAAAGAAAAGAAATCTACGCGTCAACGGGATAAATTCAATTAATCAGTGGCGAGGTAATGGGGTAAACGTATGTCAGTCAGTACTTGGGGGCTCTTGTTGATACGTTTCTCTGTCTTTACAGCATTGAGGACGGAATTAAGTAGAAGGTAAAGATAAGCGGACCAAGCTCGGGAAGAAACGAAGAATTAACGAACGAAGCGTAGAAGGGAGATGTTTGACTAGACAGCTCAACCGAATCATCATCGACAACCACGTACAGGTTTTTATTACATACTTGCGAAGTGTAGTTATATACATGTATATCAGCCATTTGTGTATAAGTACATTTACCTAACATAATATTTTAAGTGGTCACGTCCCTTCGTTATACGATTTACCTATGGTAACAATCTTCCGGTGTTGGACCAATTGAGCATCATAACCAGTTTTGCTTGTTACGTACAAAGCTTACGATTCTGTCGTTCGGCGATGCGCACAAACAAACGACTTGCCAGGTTTTGGCTCGATTAAATACCGTCAGGTGTGAGGCGAAGATTGTTGCGATGTCTGTATAACCCTGTAATAAGAGTGGTTAACGCGAGTCCCTTCCGCGCAATGTGAAATCCGGTAATGCAGCCCTGTATTTTTGGAATGTTTCATAAGAGAAGTGGTTCATCAGTTTATCCACGTTTACTGTATGAACGTGGCATATACTATAAACTAATGAGATAACTGTTTATTGTAAAAAAAAAAAGAAAAGGGAATACTCAATTGGTCCTGTATAGAAATCTTACGTTATACAACCGTATATCGTTGCTAATTCATTGGAACGAGTTTTATATGACAATGGATACCGATTTAGGGTATCATCGCCAGTGTGAAATATTTGTGAACTCGGTCGCCGGGGTTGTGGTATCGCGACGATCTACTAAAAGACCTCGAAATCAAAGCTTTTTATGATCCCATAATAGATTTATCGGTTTCTCTCTCGGTCTTTGTATGTTGCAACGACATTGAACACGTCTTAACCCTTTTTCTCGTAGCTGGACCACTCTGTACATATCGCACAAAAGCAGTCCTACCTTCGCGTATCTCGAGATTTATTTCTGTATCAAATGCCTATGAATCCTAGATCAGACGTCGCTGCGACTGATTGACAAGGAAAGCGAAACTAGAAATGAAAAAAAAATTGAGTAATAACGCTGGAATTGCTTTGCCACAGCCTTGGATCCTCGAGTACCTCATTACACTCTCTGACAGACGAAGCAGAATGTAGTCTCGCACACAAATTTGCTCTCTTTCTCTCAAGGGTTGGGCAGGATGTGCCTACCTCTGGAGTTAGAGGGATACCTTCATCCTGCGGAGATACATCTTTCAGCTCGGGTACCCTTACCGAGCAGCATCCGCGAATTGCGATCGATCATTCCAAAATGGAGCCCTCGTCCGAAAGGCAGCAAGCCTCTCGCTAGTTGCGACACATTTAAACCCTAAACAATTGTAGAGGATAAGGTGTTCGCGTCAACGCGAACCGACGACATTCGTGGCACTTTTCATTCGATTTGGGACGAAAATGGAAAATCATTTTGAGTAGTTCCCCCGATTATTCGACTCGGATTAGTTTGTGGATACTTCGACTCGTCGACGAACGGTCATTATTGCCGGGGACACGTTACACGTAAGGTTTCCGCAGACTCTTACTCGCGATCAAGACTGAACCCCTCCACAATTAGATAACTATATCTCACGGATAAGTCAATGCCGCGTCAGGATGTGTGAACCTGGAATCCAGGTTGAGACACAAACAAAATTAACAGGCTCATTGGAATGTTTCTGTAATGTAGACGTTTCTGCTATGTTGAGTTTTGTTTGTACCTTTTTTTTTTACAAAAATCAGAGCTGTTAAAAAAAATAACCAAATTCTGAAAATGACCTGCTTGAACCTTGAGCCACAGAAAAAAAAGATCATAAAAATAGTGAAAAGGAAGATTTTAACGTTTTCAACTTTAATTTTGTTCACTGCCAAGGACTACTGCTATCGGTCCCAAAAAATTCTGAGCATAAACACTCCCGCGATTAACTTGCGTAAATTAATGCAAGCCACTTCAAGAACTAAGCCATGGAGAAAAATCTTGAAAATGGTCATTTTAACGTTTTCAAGGTTCTGGGAGGCTCTGAATTTTCCTAACGTCAGAGAACCCATTAGAGTCGAAAAATCCAAATTTCCACGATTTCGGAATTTGTTTATCTTTTTGAACAGCTTTGGGTTTTGTATAGAAATGCCACAAAGAAAACTCAACATGGCACAAACGTCTACATCACGGAAACATTCCAATAAGCCTGTTAATTTTGTTTGTGCCTCAAACTGGATTCCAGGTTCACACAGCCGTCGCGTCACTCTTTTGATAGCTAAACTTTCGAACGCACATGTACAACTAGCGAGCGTCGTCGACGTCGACGGTGCACGGATGAAACGGCCCAGAATCGACAATTGTCAAGGCCGACTAAACGCCGGTGATTATTTGTGTAAATGATCGTTTTCGGAGTAACACGAACAGGAAGCTGCGAGCTCTTGCGTCTGATCGTATCGCCGAGAATTTTTTTTATACGAGACACGGGTCGCACACGACTTGGCGTTAGGAGGATGCGAGCTCTGTATATGATGAATTGTAACGTCACTTCGATAGGTTTATTGTCACGCTGCTTCGCGAGCACTCGATTCGTAAGATTTAGCGATTTACCCGGAATTAAGCACTCTTCGCCTTCGTTTAAGTATCGTCATTGTTAGCCGTGTATTTAGGGTACTCCGCATTGAAAAGCAACCGGCGAATCACCCTTCTCGGGAGCGTTTCTGGTAAATCGTATGAAGCCCCTAGAAGCTTTGGCCTTTTTTTACACCGTTAGGCGGAATTTAGACTCATAGGGATGCAAGGAAAAATTGGAATTGTAATAGGTATTCGAAGAGAGATATGGCCGCTCTGGCCACGGCGACTGAATCGCTTTTTCTTATGTATTTTTACATATTTTTCTACTCGTCTAATTAACGTCTCGTAGGATTAACGAAATCATTTGACGTTCTCCCTCCGATGGATTTGTGAACGAGATCTTATTCCTCGCGGGCGATGGCGGCAACTGCGAGCGCGAGCTGGACGCGCTCGTAAATTCGGAAAGAAACGTCGGTATTCAATAAATTACTGTCGCGGATGAAATACCTATGACAATGCTACTTTTTTCATGTACACGCTTTGGAAGGACTTTTGGTACGTTTGCGAGATCATGGGAGAGATCTATGTGCTCCTCAGGGTCTTGCACGCTTTATGCAAACCGGAAAGCTTGATCGCACTTCACCGATGTGTAGACGGCTTAAATAATTCTCTTCTTCTTCTTCTTCTTCGTTTCTTCTAGTTCGATCCCTAAGCGATGAAAATGAAAGCTATGTGTCGCATCCCTAGATAAGTTAGGAATGCACGCGCGACGTCGCGCGTTACGAGTTGTAAGGTTAATTGTATTTATAGCTGAGACGCGGTAATGGAAATGTGTTTTCTAGTCCGAGGGAGAGGGAAGACCATTTTACGATGATCTCGGTGAAGCGCGGTGAAGCTTTTCCTTTTTAAAGTCGCGTCGCTCGCCGCGACCTCTCGCAAGTACACATTCGGTTTAGGATCGTTAAGCTTTATCACGTTTTATTCCTTAACAACGATTGCCTCTCTTCGCGTACGGCTTTTAGTACACAGCCTAGGACTTTATATTATCCTTTTTCTACTTTCTGATAAGTATATACATATATACATACATACATATAAATATATCGCCCCCTTTTTAGCATCTCTTTGATACTTCAACTTCTTTTGTACATATTCTTATATACGGATCTTCCACTATAATATATATTTATTTTTTACTTTCCACGCGAAACTCTAACGTTGCATATGGCGTGAAGTGCGCGCCAGGTCCGATTAAAAGGAGCAATGTAGAATTGCGCGTAAAACTCTCGCCTTCATTGTCCGTTTCGCGAGATGTATCAGCCGGTATGGAATTCGATGATCGTCGAAAGTGCCGCGCAAGGGAACTGGAAAATTCGCACAAAGGCTCGAAAAATTATTTATTTACCCTCGGAGCACCGTTCACTCGACCTGGACTAGACTTATAGTCTTCGAATATATTCCTATAACCGGCCTTTCGTTCCCCCGTTAGCGAGACGCGATTTGCGTTGCTCTTTTCGTTGGTTTATTTTATATATTTCTATTTCTCATCGCGCAATTCTCGAGCCCCGTATCTCAAACATCGTGAACGAACTACGCTGATAGTGCATTTCTACACATGTGATTACCGTACGCGAACACGATTTTTGGATGTCATTCCAAGCTATAAGTTAGAATCGTTAGGAGGTAGTAAGAGAGAGAGGCTGTTTCACGCACCGTGGGAAGATTTCCCACGTCTATTCCTCATTTATACATGTATACATTCTGTTTAATACATTTCTTTTACTTTCTCGCAAGGTAACTTAAGAGCGCGGAAACAGTCAGCTCGGCAGGAACAGTTTAGTATTAGGCGCATTTACGTGGTACGAGTGTAACGTTCTAATAGTTAAACACTTTAAACGGGAGTATTACGAGTGATTGTTGTTACTAAAGAGTAATTTAAATACTGCCGAGTGCACGTGCGATTACTGATTACCGATTAACTGCCCGCCAAGGAGAGCCCGACACGACACCGATATCGCGATTATCGCGCGATCGCAGTAAATTACTCTCTATACGAGGTACGCAAGTACACGGCGAAAGCACTCGTTAAGTGCCTGGCACGAATTCGTATACACGGAGAATACGATTAATTTATTATAAAGCGTTCTCCGTGTATTCGCGATTGCTCATTCCCGCGTACACGTGTCTCCGTTGCGCTGCAAAATCGCCCTGTTTTGCGAACCGCTTGATTTGCACATTTGTACAAAAAAGAAGGTATCGACGCGAGTTGCCCCCTCCCTTTTTTAATGGTCACGATGTACTTATACGGTGCACTCTGCGTGCGGATATATATTATACATATATAAATATAAACATACCTTCGGCGGCATGCTCGGACGCCTGTGAACTCTGCTCACCCGACGTGTGCGTACAGTATTTTACGAGTCTACGTAGAATCGTCCTTAAGGAGAGAAATCGAGTTAAGTAGTCGGTTAAAGATTAACTTGTTAAGTATTAAATTGACGGACGGAGTGATAGGTGTTGCCGGAACAGAGGGCCATTTATGCGCCTAATCGCAATCGTTTTATTGCCCGACGTTTTCTACAAACGAGCGTTTTGTCGGATCCATTTGATTCGGTAAATTGGGTGCTCTCGTTGAATCCATTGAATTCGTCAAATTGATGAAATTAATGAAATTCATCAAATTCGTTAAATTCATGAAATCGATGAAATTCATTGAATTCATTAAACTCATTAAATTCATTACATTGATGAAAATCATGGAACTCGTTAAATTCATTAAATTTATGAAATTCATTGAATTCATTACATTCATTAAGTTGGAAGACTGCCTCCTCGGACTGAATCTCAACTCGGACATTCCGCCAATTTTCCACTTTTATACTTTGAACGTTTCAAGCCTGCGTTTCCATTAAGAGCATGCAGCGGTAGAAGTGATCTCTCATCCAACTTTAATGAATATTTCTGTATCTCCTTATGAGCACGATACGGCCAGACTCGCAGGTATCTGGGGTCGAATTCGCTACATTTAAATGACCTTGATGATGAATTCACCGTTAAAATGCACAGTGCCTTGATTTCGAGGAAATTCGAAGCCATCATTACCGGACGTACCGTAACCGATAATATACTATGTACTGCGTACTGCCAGGATCGCGAGGATCCAGCTTTTTCGGCAACGTTTATCATCTCCCTTGACGAGCACGTTACAATCGAATATAAATAGATAGCCATGTAATTTAACGTCGGTCTATTCAGAATAAGTGCTGGTTCTTTTTCTCTCGCTCGCGGACGCGAAGGAGTCTTCGAGTCCGCATCTCTGCCTTCGAAAATGCCGGGAAAAAAAAAATTCAGGCCGTCCGATGCCGGCTGGAAGAAGCCGATTAACGATTATCGATATATTACGCTCTCGTGGATCGATATAGACGGGTCTGAATAATTCTTTTCGGCATTTCCGAAGATCAGGGTGACCGAAAATCAGGAGCACTCGTCCGAGCCCCGATTCCCCGCGCATTGCGAATATAATTATATACAAGCGAGCTTCGGCATAAACGAATAGTTTGCTAACCGTTGTTGATTCGCGTTAATACTGTAAGAAAATGACTTTGTAACTAAACCGACGCCTCGCTGCGTATAAATATGATTGACTCGAGAGGAAGAGTGATTTTGACAACGCCGCGTAGTATTTGGGTAGCGATTAAGTAACTGAAGTAATTTGTAAACGACTTTACCACTAGTTGCGCGCAAGTGAGCGGATAATAACGATAAGACTATTCCGTTTCTTAACGCGCATATTGAAAATATTTGTATGTAAATGAATGACAAACAATAAAAGTATATATGCTGTACGACCGCGGACCACGTCCATTTTGTTATCAGGGAGAATTAACCCGAGGGATTGTCGCCCTTTGTGATTCTTTTATTCCCTCTACGTATCTAGAAATGCGTCGACTGAGCGCGACTACGGGCTTAATTTATTAGCCTGAAGAAACCCGGCATTCTATTCGATTAAATCGTTAGCGATTCTCCTTTCTAGGGTATCTCGAGCTCGGGTCGTCCCATGGCCTCGGAGGACCCTGTACGCGCGACACTGAATATATTTAATCACGTCACTGGTAATATTAGAACGTTGAGTCAGAAGCCTACATCCGAACGACGAGTGAACCAGGGAAACTGAGCGTGAACCGATCCATAAGTTACATGTGTACTTATAATATCTACATATTCAGGGCGATTCGGTTACGCTCACTCGCGCCATCCGCGACGCTAGGACGTTGACTCATAAACCTATATCTAATCGAAGGGTAAGCAGGGGGAAACGGTGCAAGAGATCACCTCGCGAGCAACGCAAGAGGGGTAGATGTAGCACATCGTGTGTTATGCGTGGCCGGTGTATCGATCGTAACGTTATTACGGTGCCGCGACTACATCATTCGGTCGTAGGGTCGTGGGTTGACGCTTATCGGAGATACCATCCCTCTAAGGAATCCTCCGTCTCGACTTTTATTCCGGGTTCCGGTCTCGATTCTGCATCGTTACCCCCCCAGTCTCGACGTCGTTCAGATTTCGCTCGAATCCTCGGGAAAGAGTTCATCCCACGGTCTCCCTGAAAGAGAAAACAAAGGATTTTACCTCGCCCGATCCTTTCACCTTCGATTATCCAATAGCCTACTCCGACCACTTTCGGTCTCGACCGCGTCCCGGCCTCTACAGCTGTTCCAGAGTCACGCGACCCCGGAGAAAGTAGCGATCGTAATCGCGCGACATCACCGCGATCACGCTTATGAGACGTGGGAGGATCCGCCAAGCGTACGCGGGAATTATCGATCGAGGAATCGGCAGGACGCGTTTTTCATTTTTCCGGGTCTTCGTGACTGATTTTCGCGAATCGGTTCGCCGTCCGCATCGGCGTCCTCGGTCGGGCCGCGGCAGCAAGTGGGTGCGCAGCCAATCGATAGCGCCCGTCCACCGGTGGACGCCAGTCGACCTCGGCCGACCGCCTCGCGAGGCGACGCCAGTCGACGGGGGGGCGACGGCGAGTCTACCCGAGGCGGATCGTTTGCCGCGGCTCGCGCGTCGCGCGTCGAGCTCAGAGTCCAGTAAGGAGAAACCGGCGCGGAGGAAAGTGCCCCCGGACGGGCAGACCGCGCACCTCTGCAGTCGCGGTCGAATCGGGTTGCCGCAGGGTACCGCAGGGCACCGCAGGTTACCGCACGTTGCACCGACCCGCGCTACCACGCTCTAGTAGGTCGCTCGGGGCAAACAACCCCTGGATGAACTTCCGAGTATGCGGTCACTCTCCCTACACGAAAAGAGTGCAATGTAGTGAGGAAATACCCTGTCTGTGCATACGTGTGGAAACGCCTCTGGTTTCACGACAGACTTAAAACCTGAAATAGATAAAAGTGCAGCCACGATCTGTGTTCTCGTTATTTAACGCTTTGAAGTCTTTTCTCTTTAGGTCATTTTAGATAATCAGACTCCAGGCTTTAATCGAAGACTGTGTACGTATGTGTGCACGCGGGATTGCGATCGAGGTTGGCTGCGGCACGTTGCAGTAGCTCGCAGCAGGGTGCAGCTTGCTGCGGTTGGCGCGGCGACCCAGCCCCGTTACTAGTGGTGTAGCTTTCCTTGGATGCCAAGAGATTCGTTTCTTTTTTTTTTATGGTAAACGAGAGTCGGAGATGTATAGGGATTTAGTTGGGAAATTCGTGGACTTTGCATGTAAACCGTCGTTTGAAATCGACGGCTGTGGCTGGTCGCAGTAGTCACGGCCTCTCCCCTGCAGGCAGTGGTCCGCACGGCGAGGCGTCCTACCACTCACTGGCCGACTGCCCGAGACGTCACCCGCCACGTGTCGCGCCAAGTCGGCCGCCGCTCTCTGCTTTCAAACGGACCTATCGCGGCGCTGCGATAGCTCCTGCGCATTCGTCTGCGCAGCAAGTCCGGGAAAGGGCGGAGTGCCCTCGCGGCGGGTTTTGACCCGGGAACACGGCAGAGACCTAGCTGGAAAACTCGTCCAGCGCTTCGAGTGGTAAGGCCCTATTCTTTTGACTGACTAGCACCGACCGCCCCCTAACCGTCGACACTTCACCTCGTTAGACAAACAAGGACTTCGCGGTAAATAACCACTTGACGCCCTAATGAAGGAAAATAAAAATATAAAAATCGACACGACGCGCGTTGGATGTTTCATTTCCACGGTAAACAGAATTAATAAACATTATTAATCGAGCTTAATCATTCTCTCCTCTTACACACCCGATACTGGCTATTTCGGGCATGATTATATTTATTTCGCAGTATTTTCGCTTCACTTAATGTCTAAACAATTAACCAGAAGAATAACGCGTTAACGATGGGATTTACACAAATCGAGACGATACTAACATAAAGCGGGATGTAATTGTAATAAATGAATGTTAGTATATTACTGTAGAATAATTGTAAAGGAGCGTTTCACTTTTCGAATTGGGTCTGTTTCGTAACTTTGGAACTTAAAATTATTACCTGTGTAAAGTATCGCGTCAAAAGGCGAGGTGGAATAAACGGTGCTCCCCCCGAAACGCATCTTTGGAAAAACATTCCCGGGCAAATCGAATTTCTATCTACGGACACACGTGCTGCGCACGTGATATAGCGGCGCTTCAGAGACCGTTGAAAGAATGCAAATTAAGACGTCGAGTAAGCTCATTCGTATTTCCGCTTGCCTCTTCACTGGTGTCGTAAGAAGTAAGAAAAAAGACAACAGAGGTACCGCGCTCGACTAATGTGTTTTATCGTCGCGACTTGAGATGATATCGACAATGACTCACGACGGAGATTGAAGTAATCGCCGTTGCCGAACCGTTATCAATCGGCTTATCGGCGACTAATCAAGGGTCGAAATTTTACGATGTCGAATCACCCACGTTTCTCGGGCTGGTTTTCTACTCTGGCATCCTGTCATTATCGCAATATAAACATTTCGACATGCACTTCACGTGGAATTTCTCCTTCCACGCATGTGCGTGCTCTTTTGGCCGTGTCGTCACTCCTTTGACGGACAAACAAGTGGGAACGAATTTTCTGCGACATATAGAGAGCGATTTCTCGCGCTAAAAAAGCGCCATCTGATGTTATCGACTCTCATTGATTACAGGTCAGTCACGTGATAGCTGAAACAGAAGCTGCTAATTGTGAGAGTAGTCACGAGTCTGTCTACAAGCTGAAACCGCGAAAAGAGGTGCTTCTACCGAGGGATCTCATTTTCCACGCTGTATGAATTATTCTGAACCGGTAAGAATTAATTGTCACGGTTGATAATGCTTGTACAGTTGAGAATGACATCGTTGTTGTAGCTGTCATCGACGTAGACGCGTCTCGATGAAGATCACAGATACAGGACCCTGTTCAACGATCAACGATGGACACTTACTGAGGATTTATCGAGATGTATCGATAGTCCGTGAGATTGAGATCTTTATCGGTGGGTGTTATTTAATCGACGCAGGGAAGACTTGCAATTCTCGGCAGATTTCTTCCGGAAATTATTATATTAATGGGAAAGTAATTATCTTCGGAGGGTACATTACAATAGATATTAGACCCTGTTAAGAATAATCACACAATTCATCCACCTTCGCTATACAAGGTTACAGTAAAACCATAAATTTGTTCTCTTCAAACCGAATCGGTACATGTAGATTATAAATTTCTAAGTAAATTATAAATCGCATAACCATCGCGTGAAATCGTCGAGAATTGATCCTCTGTCGTAAATTTGTTATGAATTGTATTTTAAAATACTACAGTTCTGATGTTTTTTTTTTAACAGTACAGTTCTTTAAGAGTCATTATTCATTTTAGGACGCCGCGAGGAGTTCGGCGAGACTCCCTGTCGACGACCACTCTTCGAGCCGCGATAAGTCGAAGAAATCGGGCTCTAGGACGAGTATCGGAGATCGCAAAACAAAGGAGGCCCGATAAGAGGGGCACCGAACCAGGGTCCAGTCCCCGTAGACAACGTCCTCGGGAGAGTCGCGATCGCCTCCAGAGTCCGGACGGTCGGCGTGGACCAGGCGGAGGCTGCGAGACCGGCCGCTGATCCGTCGACGCCGTTGTAATCGCGACGCTGGTCCGCCAGGGTATATGCGGAGGGTATTAATAGTCGTGCCGAAGGTGGGGGCCGCTGCGGGTGAAAATAGAAAAGAATGTTTTTGGAATCCAATTGGACTTGGTTGGCAGAACGATGGGGCAATATGGCCGACTTGGCCGAGCGGGTGGACGATCTGATATGCAGTTTTGACTCGACTGGTGACACGACGATGGACACCCTGTCGATGCTGATCTTCGGCTGGATGCTGTTCGGCCTGGTGGTGCTCTGCGTCGGGAAGTACGTCTACAACCGATTCGTCCTGCACGACCTGGGGGCGAGCAGCGGTAAGGAGACCCACGTCTTGCACGTTGGCGAAAGCGTTGTTGTCGCCGGCAGCGTCGCCAGCAAGCTGGTCTACGATAAGGCCAAGTCCCCGATTACGAAATCCGCGACGATCGGCAGCGGTGGTGGTGTAGGTGTCGGTGGTGGTGGTGGTGGTGTCGGTGGTTCCGGTGGCTCCGGTGGCGGTGGCGGTGCCACCGGGGGTGGAGGACCGGGTCCCGGGGGAGGAGGGGGTGGTTCCCGCGGGCCCTCCTCTCTGTCCGGCTCCTCGGGGGCCTACGTGCCTCCCACTCCGCCCGTCCGGAAGAGACTCACCAGGAAGACTTCCGGTCCGCTGATAAGCCCCGCCAGGAGCTCGCGGGCGCTGCACCTGCCCACCGCGACTGGCGCCGACGCCGACGCCGTCAGATGGGTCAACGAGCTCATCGTCTGGCTACACTCGGACTTGGTCATCCTGAACGAACTCTTGGCCGTTTGGGTCGCATCCCTCAACGACTTCACCGCCAACTCCGTCGAAGAGGTGAGCCTCACCCAGTGAAAAAATTATTACCTGGATTTACATACGTGAATATTCATGGCACTCACGTTTCTCCTCTGCAGCACGACCGAATCTTGCTTCTTCACCTAAGACCACTGCTCCTGCACAATTGTCGTTATTCATTGGCGTCGACGTATTTATAGAAACCCTCATCAGCTGTAATCTAAAGGAGCCTATTTTCGCCTCGACGCGTCGCGGATGGTTATGGGGACCTGGAACGCCATTAATTAGGTCGATTGTATTCCGGCTTGGATGAATAAGTTTTGGAATTCGGCAGCCCTGGGTTCTATGGGTTTCGTGTTTGAATGTTTATGCGCGGTATATGCTACGGTATCGGTTATGAGGATGTTACATGTGGGGAGGTGCACGATTGTCGGTCCTTTTCTGTCAATCATCCGGATATAAGTGGAGGAAAATGGCTGCCAAAGTTGTCGGGATACGTCGGAATGCACCGGAACCCCATTACGTCAGACACCGTCGAGCATAGAGTCGGTTTCTTCACGCTCCGTTTGGGACCTTGTGCGGCTCCTCCGATGACGTCTTCACGTCTGAAATAACTTTTATTTCCACGGAAATCGGAGGAACGAGGTTAATCGCGTTATTCGACCGGCGGTCGTAAAAACGAACCAGAAATCGATGGTTCCTCGCGCCTCCTGGTAACGGACTCGTCTATGATTTTTCCTTCTGACCTAAATTCCCGGTTTATTAACATAAACTTGAAATAACACCGTTTCACTGCTGATCGGTAACCCCGGGAAATTTCCCTTGCAGTTTCAAGACCGAGCGAAATTAATGTAAATTATAACCGGCCGGTTTCTTGATTTGAAAATAGAAATTCTTGTCGTAACGAGTAAGTCGTGCTTATCGTTTATCGTTCGAGGTTTGTACTCCTTTCCCACAATCGAGACTCGTTTCTGGCCGTATCTACCCGCTGTGGGAATTATTTACGACTGGGAATAAAGTGGTCTAAAGTTCAGGACGCACAAGAGTGCTGAATTGCATTCGAGCTCGTGGTTTTTAATTATGCCGGTTTTTAAATCGATCGCTTAACGGGTTAAGGGTGGGGACGTGCATTCGGAAAGCGATAAGGGGAGTTCGGTTTTCGGCTGTACAACAAATACTCGTTGTTGGACGAAGCTGTAATCCGATCGTGGGGAAGGTGGACTCTTTGGCAAACAGGCGAACATTGTGCAAGGCTAATGGCCCGTTCTTGCGATCCAGCATCAGTGATGTGAACTAAACCCACGATCGCGTCGAAAAACGTAGGCGGAAGCGTGGGTGGTGTAGGTAATGCAGGGATCTGCCACGTCCACCCACAATGTGGGATTACTCGGGTCTTGATGTAGGATAATTCGTTACGTACATCACGACTTGTTGAGAAAGAAAAAATTCATTGAAGTAAAGAAATATTTTCTTTGGGTAGTACCAAAGGAATATTTAATTCAAGAAATAATTGACTGAAATTTTACTCAAATAAATTGGAAAACTCGAAGAAACGGTGCATCCAATTTATTATAGTTTGTTTGAGTCGAATTAACAAAAATATTTCTTAGGCACTATTCAGAGAAACATTTCAGTGGTTTGATGAGAATGTTCTTTTCTCGGTGTAGGAATGTCCACTTTCTGATTGAAGGAAAAATCAAGGAGAAATTTATATAGACTACCTTCCATCCACTTCGGGGAAATATTCGGATCTTGATGCAGGGAAATTCTTGACTTATATCTGGACCAGGGATGCCCACTTTCTGGTCAAGGAGGAAATCACTAAAAAGCGCTAATATAGCCTTGCAGTCCGAGACTTCGCCTGGAGAAATAAAAATTATGCCTTACCTTGACACACAATGGAGAATTAATACTCTACTTGGTGCCACTCGAAAGTTCAACTGCGATTTCAACCTCTTCTGCCCACTTGTGCCTCACTTAAGTAATTCGTTTTGCACAGTGACACTGAACTTTCGAGAGGAAGAAGATTCTATTAAGAGTGTAGAGTATTCCAGCGTATCAAAGTCAGTTAAGATATTCTGCAATAGCAAATAATAGAGAAGTTATTCATAAGCGTTTCACTTTGTAAGTTCGGTAGTTAGAGCAGAATTTAGACTCGATCATTGATGCTCTGGAAGGTTTAAAATGAATTATCGTGATTAAGATGGAGCCTCTAATTTAATTATTACTAATAGCAGTTAACTATCGTTTCAGAACGGAGTTGGCGTGGAATTTGTACGAGTATTACCTGAGACTCATCCGCCAGTTTTATCCAACATTTTTTGCGAATGCGACTCCAAAGATGACGTGGTAAGTCCTCCAAAAATACCTGATGGATATAAAAAAAATTTAATTTCTTTTTATTATTGCGAGAGGAGCATAGTCAAATTATTTTTGAGACCTGTTCGATCCGTCATTAAGATGAACTTATGACTTACAGACAATAACTTGCGACTGTGAAGCAACTCCGGCCTTGCAGCTCAAGGCTTTCCGCCAAAAAGGAGAAAAAGTAGAGGTCAGCCACTATCGCGTCAATATTAATCGTTTCCGGGCACGACTAAACGTCGTTTGCATCACCGAGAAACTGCTCGTTGACCTAAAATGCGACGGATGGCCCGAGGTATGTTAAAAATCCATGCGTTATATTTAACAAATTTTTTTTACCTTGTTATTAATACTTTCTACCTACCTGGATCAATTAACATCCTAAATAAGATTCGTTTTCAATTTTTATTAAATGTCCAACTTTCCTAAATCCAATGAAAAGTCATAATCAGCAATCGTGCTTATATCAACGTATGGTAAATCCTGACATTATCAGGAAATTCATCGGTAAAGAAGCTTTCGTGGCGTTCCTCCGTAGAAGCAAACCCGATGTGGTGGGCAAAGTCGCCGGTAAAGTCGTTCCCCTCGTTATCGGCAGGTTCCTAACTGTTAGATAAGGTCACTCGTGTACGATGGCACTGCCGTTACCATATTTACCATATTTACCATATTTTACAATGATAAAAGTTCTGGTAACTCGAGAATTTTTTAATACAAAAATTGTATCGCAGCTAATGCATAAGACCCTACAGGTAGCGAAGGAATGTATTAATGCTAAATTTTAATATTAATCGACCTTAAATAATTGATTAGATGTAAGTTAATATTTAAATTAAGAGAGTGATTTATTTATTGGAATTTTTTTATTCTAGGTGAAGATCTCATTGGCACCTGTGGGCACCATAAAGAAGGACTTGGACGAGAGTCAGCTACAAGAAGTAGTGACGGAAATAGTTGTAGGTGCCATAAGAGGAATCAATGTCAGCCTGAATCTCTCTCCATATCCGACTTGTCCTCGACTTTGGAGAGAACCGCCTCCCCAGTCGATTTATCCTCTACCAGTTCATTATGATAGCATGGTGAGTTCATCCTATGTAAAAGAATTCGTAACGGGGAGAAATCAATGTCTCGTCAATCAGAACGATTCTCTTTCCGCCTCCTCAGGTTCATTCCTCGTCGTCTCCTGTGCAACAACAATACATACGCGGGGAAAAACGGCTGCTCGTGAAAGTCGTGAAAGCGACGGATTTAGGTGGCGAGCAAGGATGCAAGGAGCCATTTTGTGTGGTCGAGTTGGACGAACCGCCTCAGAAGAATCAGACATCGATAAAAAAAGACACCAAGAACCCGCTATGGGACGAAGCCTTTTTATTGTGAGTAAGACCGTTACGTTTTTCATGGGTTCTTCATAACGGTGGAGGATTACGAGTAACCACTCACACGGAGAAAAATGTCTTGTAGGACGACTGCCATAAATTAATTTGAAAATTGTCCTGTAGAGTGGATGCGAGTGGACCAAGGCGAAGATTTATTCATTTTATGATTTTAATGCATTTCAGATCAAATAACGCCGACGACTCGTTGGGTCTGTCGCCCGATAAAAGTGATCATTAGTGATGTACTTACTCTACTCCTTCGAATCGTAAAGTAGGTCGAATTGAGTTCCTATGAAAAGACTAACGGCCTGGGTGAGGATCAAAGGACTGAAAGCACCCTCAAAGTATAATGTATATATGTATATTTTTTTTTTTCGTTCTTCTTGTAAACGTCCAACTATCTTAGAAAGTGACCAGGAGGAAAGGTAGAAAGGTGGAATATAGTGTACAGAGAATGATTGTCAATTGTGAGAGATGAATGGAGAAAGAAATAGTAGCGTGTCTAGTAACGAATACTGCAACCCCGTAGACGTAGATGTTACGGATTTTCAATGTATTAAATGCCGATGTTAAAATAAATCACAAACGGATATGATATCTACGGTGCACTGTACTGTCTGCTTGAAGGGTGGTCATTAGTACAGGTACTATTACCTTGCAAGTTTAGCATGTCAACTGGTACTTTAATACGTTTTATACTTAATTGCGAGGAACCCTTTGGCAAGGTTATCGCCTTGCTCTGTAAAAATAATCCATTGTCAATTCTCGGATTACTCGGTTTATTACGATGTTTCTAACAGGTATTTTTCTCCGTGCAGTTAAGGTGATGTGAAAATAGCGTCGAAGAGGTTTTGTTTATAAAATCTTTCTCCCTACTCGGTTTACCAAATAGTTTGAAACTTTACAACGTGAATAGGGAGACTATAAGGAAGGTCCTGAAACTTATGAAATTTCAATTCTTTTCTAATTCGTTTATAGGTATTTTTAAAATACTTCATAAAGAATAAAATTTTGCGAGTTTCAGGACCTACCTTAGGGTCTCCATATTCACGTTTTAAAGTATGAAACAATTTGAGACACCCAGTTCGTAGAAAAATTTTATGAACAATTAAGCTTTCGGATGCCGCTTTCACATCCCCTTAATTGTTTGTTAAACGTTCCATTGTCGGGATTTAACGAGTGAACGTTCTGCTTCGAATTTCAGCGATGTTAGCCGAAATACGTCGGAAGTGCTGCTGGAGGTCTTCGATCACGTCAACAGGAGTCAACGATTTTTGGGACTGGGTATCGTAGGTGTCGAAGAGTTGCTGATGAATCCGAGCCAAAGGCAAATCATACCTCTTCAAGCTCGCCCTTATGAACAAGACGAAGTTACGGGCACCCTGACAGTCGAGGTAGGCTATTGAATACGAAAACAAGAAGTGAAATACCTAATTTATTCTCATTTCAGTTCTTGTTCATCGAGGGTGCTGAAGTGCCGCAAATCGGGACTAAACCGTACAAATTGAAAGAATCGATAAAGCCGGTCTCGCCGACTCGTAGCTACACCCCGACGAATCTCCTGACCAACAATAGTCTGAACTATAACAATGGTAACAGCACACTTATCTTGTACGACTCTACCAGTCAATCGGCAGCCGGTAATTACCGATTAATTAATTGAAAGGCGTTACCCTTGCGTTCATTTCCGTGTGCACCCTTCTTCTCTTCTCTCCTAGTACGTTAGCACTGTCTTGCGACAAATTGTAGCCCCTAGAAGAGCACATTCGATCTCTGACAAGAGGACTTCTTTTCTCGGAAATATTCCAAGGTAACGTCGTTTGGCCCTGGTAAAATTTCTCACCCACGAGCGGAGGGTAAAACCGTTGAATTTCGTTATCGTCATGATGTAAATAACACGGTGTATTCTCCGCTGGAAGACGTGAAATTTTATCAAAACCCAGGAATTGCAACCTCTTAGACGTTTATCCTCCTGAGCTCCCCGTAGTTTTATAAGTCAATCCAAGAATGCTTTCACGAAATTGCATACTGTACCCAAGCCTTAGTTTAAGGACTCCCATTTAATTATTTGGCCAGAAGGACGGGCTGGAAGTAGAAAGTCTTTCATTTCGATCAGTTTGCAAATACGAACATTTCCCGAGTTGAGTATAATATACGTAGGATATATATTACGAGTGTCATGACCTAGGAGAAACACTCGTGAGTCACCGTTTCCAAGTAGTCACACACAATAAAGTCTCCTTGCCAAAATTTGCATGAAACGTGCAAAGGCTTAGTGCCAATGGGTGAGTAGTCGACCTCTCGCAATTCGGTAAACGCGCTTCCCGAGGGAAACCCATTCATCTGGACGTCATTGAATTTTTATAAATTATTGCAAAGTGTAGAATCTTAGAATTGGCTTGACAGTTCGTTTTCGTTTGGGGGTGTGTTAAAGATTAGAATTTTACGGACCCTTTCGTTTTCAGATTACATGACAAATGGGAGCACAGTGGACTCGCCTTACAGGACTGGACAAACTAATGGAAATAAAGGGACACTTATAGTGCACAGCCAACAAAGGGTAAGATTTGTGAAATTAATACTTTAGCCTCGTTGATTTATTTTTATTTCCGACGTAGTTGGAGGAGAGTGATGTAGTAATCGAATATGTACCCCGTTATAACAATCCTCTAGTTATGGTTTTTACTAAAGTGTGAATTTTTCTTTGGTCCTTTACAGCAACCCGAGCGACAAGTCGTAAAGGTAAAGTATCACCACCTGCAAAATCAAGTGCTCGCTTTATTAAACTTGTCGTTAGTCCACGATGTGCACAAAATTAACAATTGTTTGTGTATTCTGTGTTTACTAATATCCAACAGGTCGCTCTCACCGAAGATGGGAGTTGGCAAGAAGTTTCGCCGGAGGTAAATTGATATTTCCACGATTTTCATAATTCGATCTTTTTAAATACCGGAGATACACTTGTTGATGCTGACTATCACGATAAGCCTGATAGCCAAATCACTAATCACTTGTGAAGCACAAAATTCTAACACCGCTAAAATGCTGGAAAGATATAAAAATAATTTCTTGCAATTACAATTAAATAATCGAATTTTCTATGAATTATATACAATTACATCTTGTCGACTACAGGATTATAGAAATCCTTTAATGTTTCAGCATGGAACCAAAGACACTAGTGTGGCCTCCGGTCCCGAGAGCACTCCTAATTCGTCAAATTCAGAAGGTTTGAGAGGTATTATATTAATTCCAACAGAACATTTCATTAGGAATTAAACGATTTTATTAACTTGCAGAAAGAGGAAGGACCCGAAGAAAACGACGTGACTTCTTTGGGACGATAAAGAAGCGATTAGGACGGTCGAAAACGAGAAGTCGTTCCGTAGGACCTGAGGGAGATGTCAACCATGAAGATGCCCATTCCAGGTCGATATCTGCTGACAGAGCTCGTGATCCTGGATCTGGTAAGTCATTTTATTATAAGAAACAATTATCCCCCTCACTAGGTAATTTACGATACGTAATTAGCACCTAGTAAAGTCGATAATTCCGAGGTAAAAGTGAACGTGAAGTCTAGTTTTCATTTAATCCATTTGAGTAGCCTACCTCGTGTACCGTTCGAACACTTACTCTGAATCTTTTTTTGCTTCCGGTACGAAACTCTATCGCGGGTCCTCTTCATCCTTGGTAAGTTTATGTCCCGTCAATAAGCGAGACATATCGTAGTCGCTTGTAAGATATTTTTTACCCCTTGCCACATGGTAGAGTAGAGAGGTGGGCGACAAGTACATTCTCTCGGTAGAAATATCCAAGTACAAAAAGAAAATTATCCTAGAGAAGATGCTTCTATTAAAGGAAAGAAATCATCTCTGCGCCTTCTATTGCCATTGAATTAAAACTGAAAAACGAGAAAACTGATGCTTTACGCTATTTTTCCTCGCTTCTACTAATCTTGATTTTTCTAACATAGTCCGTGATGTCGTACCTTTTTAATCGATAGTACTGCACATACCTGAAATACATACTTTGACTAGGTAGAAGGATTCTCCTTGGTCCTTATAAAAAACCCCTTTCTGCTGTTAGCTTGTAGTTTCTGGTTAATTGTAAATGAAATAATTGCAATTTTCAGTTTTGCTGTCGGTACCAGGAAGAGAGGAGCAATCACGAAGGTCGAGTCTCAGCGAAGCATCGGCCATAAGTGGAACATCTACAAGAACTTATGTCAACGAGGCGTCCACGTTAGTTCTGGAGACTCTCGAGAACGGGATTAAAAAGTAAGTTTATTTTTCTATTTAAATATCTTATTCAATCACTCCACAACTGACCGCATTTCAGGCACTACCTCGTGCCTCTGTCTCTCGCACAGAAGAGCAAGTGGAGGAAAAAAGGAACGAAACTGCACATATTCAACGACCATACGTTCATCGCGAAACACATGCCAGGGTGGGTCGACCTATTCCTCGGATTTATTCAGTTTGGAGGATATTTTTCTCATTGACTTTGGTTTTTAGAGGGACGGTATGCGAGGTATGCAAAAGGACTTTAGCGCGAAGGCTGGGAAAACAAGGCTACGAATGTAGGGATTGCTTCATGAAATGTCACAAGCAATGCCACGTGAAAGTAGACTCTACTTGTCCGACATCGACCATTCAGAGCATCGAATTGTGAGTAGATCGATCCCCGTTTCTTATTCCCTTGTAAGGTCTCTATCGAAGTAATAACGTCATTAAATACTAAACTTTAGACACACACATATACAGAGTAATCGTATCAGTCATAAATGTAAATTCCGAGGTTACCGTCATCCCACCAGACACTTTAACACGAAATGTAGCATCCATTAGAACAGAGAAATCTAGTTCAGCTGCTTTATGTATATACAGTCGTTCGGCATTCATTTCTCTCGATCTCTCCTGGATAAGCGTTTCCTCTTTGATCATATGCATTCGGATCGTACATTTTACATTATGTGTACTCTGTGTATGTGCATGCACTAAAGTGCAACAAGCCTATCATTTTACTAGTGACATTGTCCCTAATGTATTCTTTTTGACCTCTCGTAAGGTCCCTATTGCCGGTACTGAGCGAATAAGACGGGTAAGTCAAAGAACGTAAGGAAACCTGCTAGAGTATGACTTCTTTACGCTTAACCCAGTGTCTTTTTTTCCTGAATGACTTATGCAACGTTTCTTAATAAATATCATCCCTCCTGCGATCACGCCATTCGTTGGAACGGTCGTTTGACGTGAAAATAAGAAGTACATTAAAGTACGGCACCTCGTCGACTTATTTCCACGGTAGCAAGTGATTCACTTTACGGTTTACTGAAGCGTATGATGCGATGATTTCCGGAGACTTCGATGACCACATTGTCCATTTCGAAAATATCCCTCGCAAAATTTGCCTGCCTAACAGCTCCCACGGCAGTTGCGGTTGAGTCCTTCCTTGCCTCTTTTCCACTCCAAGGATTCTATCAGTTGTCTTCTTCTTATTGTAGTTCACCAAGTTATAGGCACCTTCTCTCGCAAAGCAATTTTGAAACGCTTCTAAGTGCGCGTCCCGAGCATGCATGCATTTCTTATGCTAAGTACTCCACCAGTGACTATTTCCGCGCAATTTCCGAACCTTAATGTTAGACATTAGCCTGGATCTTTTCGCAACAAAAAAAAAGTTTCATTCACTTCAGGATCGAGTCAGTCGTTAAGTTATGCATGCTCTGTCCTTTGACGTGTTTCTTTTCTTCTTAAAATATATTTAGCAGAGATGTACCGTAGAGACAGTGAGGCTGATAATACCTGGATCTCTAACTGATATCACGCGAGTATGCAAAGTACCTACTCATTCGAAATCCTCTCTTTTTCCAGGACTTTGATCAGAGACGAAGAACACGAACGAAAATCATCGATCCGACTGTGCTAGTCACGACTTTACATATTATTTATACATTCGAACGCTGCACCGTATAAACATCAGCTTCTTAAGGCTGTAATCGCCTATAATTTATTGCGCTGGCCCTTCATAATGACGCACAAATCGATATTATTTCGCACAAGCGTACTACTCGATTGCCATGTATAAGCACCTATTCATCCTTCAATGACTTTCGTAAGATAACAGCCAGCACGGTAATGAGATTTCACCATTTACTGTAATTTCGATTAATCGTTATCTGCCGACTACGCGGAGTATGAGTATAGAATTACTATTTCATCTATTTACGGTTCATAAAGTATACCTGTACTTCGTGCAAATCGTCCATAGAATATGCGGATTTAGTGACCGGGCAATGTGGCGATAAGTATCTGCTACGTTTGTTTAATTAACATTATTCGAAGTGAAGGACGGAACATTTGAATTCGTCATATTTCTACTGAGTTACACGAAGGCGATCCTCGAGGTCGCGTGGTAATTAATTAATCGTATATGCCACCCTTTTTGAGAATTTTCGACGACATTTTGATATATTGTTGATCGTTCGAGCCCGCTTTCCGGGGAGTTTATAAACGGTGTAATTTTCAATCCCCAGCAATCTATTCATGCGATTGAATAATTGAAAGCAACGCCGCATGTTCTATCGGTCATTTTTTGATATCGATTAGCCGCCGTTTGCGCAACATTAGCGAAATTGGCCTTGGAACCATGCTAGATAAAAACAATTATACCTATGAAGAGAAAAGTGATAAGGAAGAAAAAGAATAAGAATTTTCTATGGTTCACTCGAAAGTGATACGGTATATCCTATTATTAAAGTGTTCGTATTTATGATAACACTCCTTTCAGATTTCTTTTTTTTAACATTCGTGTCGTTTGGAGAGGGCCGGATAAATATAGTATTCTAGCTTTTACACCTCCACGAAAATTTATATATATACAGGCGACTGCCGTGAAGTTGCGACCGAAGGGTTGTTCATTTTTCGAAATTACCCGTTTTCCCACGTTCAATTCCCTGAGATAATAACAGGGGATCGATTTAAGTCATTGTTACCGAATATAACGAATTCCTGATATTTCTTTGCAATTCTACTCTTAATTAATATTAAGATAATAGGCATTAAATCGACATGACATTACCAAGTGAATGACCCTTCGGCTCGTCGCTGCTGTTACCACTGCTGCATGTGCACCTGCAGGTGCACATGCAATATGCTTTCGGATTACACATTGCCTTAAGCATATTAACGGTGCGACCAATATTTCTAGTCCACGGAAAGTGCTATTGTCAGAACCGACAAATCGAGTACCGAGTTGGTATCCGAGTCCTTAGACATAAAGAAGGCTTCTCGCCTCGAGTTACGATTAACTTGCATATAACGTTCTTGCCTTTCTTCTCGTATGGACACTCGGTTGTAGCACACGAACATCTCGACTCTCTTTTATATATAAACGAATCGGAGCGACTTCGCTTTGCGTTGTTAACGTATTCGCGTACTACGGTAAGCACGATACTTAAGGGGCAAAGATAACGAATCGTACCGCGGGTACGATAACGAATATGTAATAACCGGCACCTGGACACAATAATAAAGTAATTTTTTACCTAGGCTGTGAATGCTATGTGGAAATGGCGCGAAGTGCAATTTTTGCCCGGGGACTTCGACCGATACAGACTTTTTTACACGATACGTTAATGCGATTAAAAGTTCGTTCCAATCACCCGTAAGGTTTGGAATTCATTCAATCTAGGACATTCATCGTTAGACAGGATCACCGAATTTCTTACGAAAATCTCATTAGAGGGAGCGACGGTACTCTACCAAATAAATTATATATAATTCCCTGTAACGTTTTTACACCGTGTATTCCATCGCGGATCGATCGGTTCTTGATAGCTCTCCTTATCTAGCCCCCTGCGAAGATCAAAAGAGACAGCACACCGAGTAGAATTACTTCACAAGCTGCAATAGCTCATTAAAGTAATACGATCATAGTGCCTATAGACGTTATTAACGATGTTACGAATATAGAACGTTTATTATACAGAAGCTCTATTTATTAAGAGTATTGACGACTCTCCAAGGGCTGTTCAGCATCGAAACTCTGAATGTAAATCGCACAACGTGGAAAGTCCACGACGATGTCGATTATTATACACGGCCCGTTTAAGTATCTACCGTAAGGTAACAGTGCATAATGTAATTGAACAAAAAAAAAATGGAAAATATATTACGATAGCACACCCGACGTCCTTACTCGCCTCCCCATATTGAATTAACTCCCGACTTAACCAGTTGCAATTTCCCCTCATCTGCCCATCGTGCACCTGCCACTGCAGCGATTTTACGGGTGCATTCGCCATTACGAGGCATCATTACCGGTCTCATAGTTAAACTCATGACTCGCTTTACCATCTAAAAATTCAATTTTTGAAATTAATCTTTTCTACATTTTTTTTCACCCAATTTTGAGAGTACGTTCCCTGTGAATTTAGTACGTATCGATTTTAGTCAAATGCAGATCCTTTCTGGCCACTTTGGGTAAATCGTGATTTAGAATCTGCCGAGGTCATTTTAACAAATTTCCGAGCCACTCTTTCCGAATTCGATGAGACACCTGCCACTGCAGCGATTTTACGGGTACATTCGCCATTACGAGGCAACATTACCAGTCTCATAGTTAAACCCATAACTCGCTTTACCATTTAATAATTCAGTCTGGCATTAATCCTTCCTACACATTTTTTTTTTATCCAATATGAGGAGTACGTTCCCCGTGAATTTATTACGTACCGATTTCATTTAAATGCAGATCCTTTCTGGCCACTTTGGGTAAATCCGTGATTTAGAATCTGCGGAGGTCATTTTCAAAATTTCCCGCGCTCACTCTCTTCGAATTCGGTGGCACAGAAGACGTTTGTTCGTTTCGCCTACACTTTCTACACTTTTACGAAAAGTGTACACTTTGGCGTTCGTTTTGACGGAAGTGACGCAGTGTCGCTATTCGTTTTGCGTGTGCATCTACCCCGAGTGTACAAGTGCACTTTCTTTACACTTTCTACCCTCGATCCCGAGCGAGGGTAAGATGTTATAAAAGTGTAAGCCGTGAATTCGGCGGCAAATTTCAAAATTGAACAGACCAACAAACAAGAAAATACAATGTTTGTCTCAAGATCTCAACGTAATATAAATAGAAATAATGATTAATACATTTTCTTCATGTATTGAACGATTAAGCGTTTTAATTTTGTATCTAATCTTTGAAAAATTGTACAATCACTATTTATTACAAATTATGTACTGATTTGCAATTTATTTATTTACAATTATTATGTATTACGCATCATAATTATGCATCATATATTATCACTATCATCATCATTTGCTAGAAGATGTAACGGAAGAAGCGTTACATCTTCATTTTCATCAACATCCGATTCGAATAGCTCCAAAATCGCATACGATCTCACTACATCGGCCATCTTGTACTTCCTTAAGCTTTCTGGCGTTCTGGACGTCAACGAAAGTGTATCTACCCTTCTGCACCTATCAAGAAAAGTGTAGTACGAGTTCACTCGTTACCCTCGAATGTAGAAAGTGCAGACAACGCGAACAAACTTAGAAAAAGTGAATAGTTAACTGAAACGAATATATATCGTTGCCTGAATCGCATACAATAGCAAGAAACATTGATATTATTGAGAGGAAAAATTGGCATTATGTTTGTTTATTGTTTTTGTTGTATCATTGCGTATTTCTTTGAGTTAAACAGCTTTTCGGTTCTCTTTGGTGTTAAGAAAACGAGGAGAGCGTGCTTTATCGTATTCCGATGCTCGATAAGGAGTCGAGACGAATCGCTAGGCAGAGGGTCGCGTTCGGCGTCCGGATGCCTAATGTTCCGTAATCGGCGGCGTCTAATAATAAACCGTCGAACGGCGAGAGAGAGTGCGCGGCCTGGCGAGCCGGCAACCGACAATGCCCATCAGCAACCTATTATGGCATTACGGTATGGCGAACCGTCAAATTACCGGATTGATCGATACCACCCCGTGCGGCTCCTCGGCTGACGGCCGCCGCGCCGAGACGCAAACTCGCTCACGCTCGACAGAAAGAGAGAGGGAGAGAGAGAGAGGGAGCGAAGAGGGGAAAAGGAGAGGAAACGGAAAACGCGCCGCCCGGGGGCCGAGCGAGTGCAGCAAACTTCAGGGGCGTGCCTTGAAAATCTCGTTATGTCTCTCCAAGTTTACTTTGCCTCGTCCTTATACCTTGCTTTAAGAATTAAAATACACGTTTAAGGTCATTTAAAAGTGTCATATATACACACACACACACCAAACCGTCAAAATGTTTACAGAACTTTTCTCCAAACAGGGTATACCGAATCGATGGAAACTTTAAGGTGAAGTTAAACACGTCGAGGAACTTGATCAACGTCGATAAAGAAGATTTTTCTAAATGCCTACGTTGCCGACGTTCGTTTTTATATTGACAGTTGTGTCGAATTATATTGGGTATTGTATCAAATGGCATACTCCACGTGTCGTTTTTGTACAATAAATATCAAGAAATCGAAGTAAAACTCCAGAAATCCTCTGGATGCATGCTTTCTGGGGCCCTAATTGACCGCACAGGGACCCCTTGCGCCATCTGTGATTTCCATGTCAATTAAATTTTCCCTCCGAGACCTCGTATCCCCATCGTTTTAGCATAGAAGTGCATACAACACTTTCTTTGCCTTTATTCCGTTCAAAGTCGAGTTTATCGATTACCAGAGTGTTCTAAATTGTTGTAAAATTGTCCTGACCCTTTCGATTCTCATATCAGAGCCTTCGATAATTGTATATTGATCGAAATATGAGAGCTCGACGCCATTTTGGTTCTGGTTTGGGCTAAGATAAAAAATTTTTCCCAAAAATCCAAATTTTGAATGTGTCAGGACAATTCTTAGATGATCAGGAGTGATGTGTCAAAGTTTTGGATAGTTTGGTCTAATACCATTAAAAAAAATGTTGTATTCGAATTGACTGATTTGAAGGGGGTGTCACTTCACCTTAAGGTGACATTTTTTTTTAATGGTACTAGACCAAACTGTCCGAAACTTTGACACATCACTCCTGATTATTTAAGAATTGTCCTGACACATTTAAAATTTGGATTATTGGGAAAAATTTTTTATCTTAGCCCAAACCAGAACCAAAATGGCGTCGAACTCTCATATTTCGATCAATATACAATTATAGAAGGCTCTGATACGAGAAACGAAAGGGTCAGGACAATTTTACGACAATTTAGAACTCTCTGGTAATCGATAAACTCGAATTTGAAAGGGATAAAGGCAAAGAAAGTATTGTATGCGCTTCTATGCTAAAACGATGAGGATACAAGGTCTCGGAGTGAAAATTTAATTGACCTGGAAATCACAGATGGCGCAGGGGGTCCCTCTGCGGTCAATTAGGGCCCCAGAAGCACGAATCCAGAGGATTTCTGGAGTTTTACTTCGATTTCTTGATATTTATTGTACGGAAGCGACAGGTGGAGTATGCCATTTGGTACAATATCCAATATAATTCGACGCAGTCAATATATAAACGAATGTCGGCAACGTAGGCATTTAGAAAAATCTTCTTTATCGATGTCGATAAAGTTCCTCGACGTGTTTTACTTCACCTTAACACGTGATTATGGAGGCCCTAAGGAAGAACACGATACTCATGAAATTTCATTTTTCAAACGTATGTGTCCTTAGTTCTAGTGTTGGATACATAACAAAATTTGTACTTGAAAAAGGAAATTTCATGAGCGTCGCGTTCTATCTTAGGACCTCTGTAATCACGTGCTGAAGTCTCAAATTATTTGGTGCACCTAGTTTGAAGGAAAGTTTTATCAATATTTTGAAATTTTATGTAAATTGAATGTCCTTTAACTCCGAGAGTGAGGTACGAGTACGGATTTTTGAGTGCACGTGCACTTGAGAGAGAGTTTCCGAGAGCTTCATGGGTACTTGTAAAAATTAGGAAAATCGTGAAAGTCGTGAAAATGATGACAATACTGTATGTCATTAATTTGGATAAAATTGAGTTTGTAAAAGGCGTTCTTGCACCTGCGTGGACTGGGGTGCATGGCTCCCGGGATGATTATTCCAGTCCTGGGAGAAGAAGGGCGGTCCTCGGGGAGAGTCGGCCCCTCTCGTAGGCCGTACCCCTGCGGAGTGGCCGACGTCGTTACTCGGTCTGGTTTGCGGACGACGTGGGCTGGACTTCTCGCCGAGGCGACGAATCCGCTCGGAGAGCTCCCCGTTGCATCAGCTGCAGGGAAACGAGCGCCGCCGCGGCGCAAACGCATCGGCGTGGACCTAGTGCCCCGTCCGAGGCACCCCCGGTGCACGCGTCGCTGCCTCCCGGGGCGAAAGAGAAACCGAATATCGAGGACTCAGTGCCAAGTCGGCGCTGATCGCCCACTCGAAGTGTCAACGCGTCGAGGTCTGGGCGAACACTTGCGCGTCACGTGATCCGGCGAGAGTAAGTCCCGCGGGAGGTTTTCGAGGGCCTGTAGTGCGTAATTCGCGGCGCCGATGATTTTAGGATGCAGAGGCGCGATAGTTCACTCTAGCTGTAGCCGCCGCAGCGGAAATTTCGGGGTTTGAACGTCGGGTGTGGACGCAGGGTGGATAATAAATCGCGAGGTGGACGCCGACTCGCGCGCCGTACGCGGCTCCGCGGACCTCGGTGTCTCGCTACCTTAATCGGGACTCGAAGGGTGCCAGTGGAGGGTAGAGCATGAACCTTGAAAGACCGGTAGATCGACGACTCCGGTACGTCACGTGGGATAAGGGTCGAACTTGCGGAGGGCGTCGGTAAGGAGGGCGCCTGTTTCCTGCAGACCTCGGCGTGCAGGACTAGGTGGGTTCGGGGCCGAGTCCTGCCGACTCGCGGAAAGGATGCCAAGACCTTCGCGCGAGTCTTATGGCGAGCAGAAGCCGCCCTACTCGTACATCTCTCTCACCGCCATGGCGATCTGGTCCTCCAGGGAGAAGATGCTCCCTTTGGCCGAGATTTACCGATTTATCGCCGACAGGTTCCCGTATTACCGACGGGACACCCGGCGCTGGCAGAACTCGCTCAGGCACAATCTTTCCTTTAACGACTGCTTCATCAAGGTACGCGAGAATCGATGCAGCGGGTATCGATACTATCAAACTTCGTGTTTCTGCCATGAATTATTCATTTTTTCGTTTTCAACCGACATGGCAAATTTTAGAATTTAAGAACCAAAGGGCGCTTTACCCGCCCAGCGACGTCAAGGCGACTCCACGTTGGAGAAAGTATTGTTTCTTGCATCGACGTGCAATACTTCATCGTCAGAAAAGCTATTAAAATCTGTACCGTAACGACCATGCTAATACACGAAAATAAAAAAAAAGGGGGGGCAAAGTAAAAAGTGTCTCCAACACGTGCGCCTCTTGTCACGATGAATTAAAAAGCAAATTAGATACGATCACCCTTGATATACAAGCCGGGCTCGATTAATCGGACTCTGTTGCTCACCTTTCGATCTAAAGTACATTTCCACGGCAATCAATTACTAGATTAATTGAAGGGGCCGCAAAAATCCGGCAATTTATGCGAACCAGCATTTGCGCTGCCGTCGTATTTCTTTTTCTTTCTTCGATGGACGTTTTTGAGGACAGTTCGAAGTGCGAGCAGAGGCTGCGAATATACAACCTGTAAAAAATTATCATTGAACGATCGGCTGGGTGATATCGATCGCTATTGGCGATAAGATAATTACATGTCCCCCCTGATAATATTAATACCCCTGGGCGCATGATTTATGGCGAGGAATTAATTGAAGCACACAATTAGCGGAGTGCAATTAAAACCAGATCTCCGCGTGCTACGAGTTGCATGCAAATTATTTCCTTTTATTAAAAAGGCAATTGGAAAGCTATAATTTGCTGGAAGCAGGGAATCAGATATTCGCTGTCACTCGAGATGCTCCCCGCTGATATCAGGGACAGGGTTGCGGTTTGGTACATTTGCGATGATCGCGTTATCACTCGGCTGATAAATCGAACCAATTACGCGCCATTCTTCCGAGCATTACGGGAGGAAGTTGCGCACGCGTTGGGAATAATATTTATTTTTTAAACTCGTTAAATGGATAATGATGTATTTATTTTCTCGATTTCCATTACCTCCGCAATAGACGCGAAGGCCCTTTCGATCTTCGAGAGACATTCCGCTCGTTAAACGCGCCGGATTTAATGACGCCATTGCGGAGATAATTGGCCGCGCTGCGTGACTTGAAACGAAGTGCGGTGTCGTGTTCGGGAAACGAAAATATGCAAATAGCAGGTAACCTTACATGAGAACGAAATTCAATAGCCGGCCGAATTTCAATCACGCAAGTCTTGCGCGACCCTCGGACCCCGGTAATCTGTGTAATTCGTAAGTCTTGACTTATGCAAATGACGGTGGAAATAAGAGAAATGTGCCGTTTCCGTATTCACTTCCGATTAGTTTTTCGACTTCGTTTCCCTGGCCGGAATATGAATAATTTGGTAACGATTATTGCAGCGATGACTCTCGCCACAGAAATAATGAATCCGATCGCATCGAACGATGATTGTAACCTTACCAACGGTTCGATCCACGGTTAAATAATTACATTCAAAGGATATTAACTATGTAAACAAATTATGATAAGCATGACGTTGCAACTGATTGTCGTAACTTGTTGGCAAGGTAGTCGTTCTAAAAATGGCGCGAAAAATGACCTTTTTTCCCATGTGTCCTTCCAAGTGCCCAGAAATAATGAATCCGATCACATCGAACGATAATTGTAACCTTACCAACGGTTCCATCCACAGCTAAATAATTACATTCAAGGAATATTAATTATGTAAACAAATTATGATAAGCATGACGTTGCAACTGGAATTTAGTGTACTGCATTAAGTTGATTGTCGGAACTTGTTGGCAAGGTAGTCGTTCTAAAAATGGCGTGAAAAATGACCCTTTTTCCCATGTGTCCTTCCAGGTGCCCAGAAATAATGAATCCAATCACATCGAACGATAATTCTCACCTTACCAACGGTTCCATCCACGGCTAAATAATTACATTCAAGGGATATTAACTATGTAAACAAATTATGATAAGCATGATGTTGCAACTGAAATTTTGTGTACTGCATTGAGTTGATTGTTGTAACTTGTTGTAAAGGTAGTTATTCTAAAAATGGCGCGAAAAATGACCTTTTTTCCCATGTGTCCTTCCAGGTGCCCAGGGGGCCTCATACCCCAGGGAAAGGTGCATACTGGGCCCTGCATCCTGCGGCGCTTTCCATGTTCGAAAATGGATCTTTCCTGCGTCGAAGGAAGCGTTTCAAGCTGCCGAAAGGTGCAAAAGAGGAAAGTCAAGCTTTGGCGGAAACCGCTGCGAGAATCGCTGCAGGCCACAGCGATTCCCTGACGGAATGTCTGCCCCGTTTGGAGGGGTCCAACTTGTATCCCCAGCATCGCCTGGACCAGCATTCCCAGTACCAGCCAGCCGATCTGACCCAAAGCCAGCTGGATTTCCTGGGAGCCACGTCGACCCTGACCAGCTTGCACTCCCAATTTTCGATGAAGGATCATCGAATCCTGGCGAACACTTCCACCATGACCGCCGATCGGCGACTCGGGGTGGACAAGATGTCTTTTAATAAGGAAGACCCTCCTTCAGGACTTCCATTGACGTCAAACCTGGACAGAAAAGAGGCAGAGGTCAGTCTGGTGCCAAAAAAACCAAAGCCGCTAAATCTCGCTCAGAAATCGTTCAATATCGAGAGCATAATCGAGACGAGTGGGTCCAGCAGTGAGCCCTCTAGGTGAGGATAATTAATGAGAATATTTATGGAAAGACATTTATGATCTGGATTTTGTCATCTCGAGGTTTAGATCGTATCGCGTATGATTACAAAGTGCGCAAGATGGCGCGACGCATGGCACAAAGAATTTCAGATTTTAATCTCGACATTTAATCCGCGACGTGACTGATTCTAGAGTGCAAGATGGCGCGATGCCTGACACGAAATGCCACCTGTTTCAAAAATAACGTTTAAAGTGTACGGTAATGATCTCTCGTTTGATAGCCCCCAGATCCCTTTACAAGCCGAGTATGTTAATCGTTACTCGACCGCGGCAAAAAGTGCTCGGAAAAAGAGTGCTCGGCGCACTCCAGAAATGGCGCTCTGAAATCTCCCCGTGATTGCACGGTTAACTGCAAACATAACAGTTTTTATCGACGGCCTGGTTACTCCATTCTACTCGAGCACGGTTCTAAAAATCGGCGTTTCATTTCTCCCCGTGGATGGATTGTGTCCCTGCACCTTGAGAAAAAAAATACTGTTACACATTACCACTATACGAGCCGTGAAATGAACATCAGTCCCAACAGAGATACGACGACACAATGTCGGAAAGAATAACCTTACGAATTCTAAAGTCAATCTTACATCATTATCCAAGCCCGTAGCGTTGATAATTAAGGTGCCATGAAAATGGTATCTTCGGATTAAATCGTACATACAATTGTTCTTGTACCGAATTGTTTGAAATTTCACCACAAAACGTTACTTTTCACGAGTCGCTTTTATGCCGTCTTAAGGGCATCTTAAGAGTCAATCGTTCATGAAACTTTTCTCCGAATTGGGTGTACCAATTTGTTTCAAATTTTACCACGCGAATAAAGAGACCATGAGGTAGGTCCTGAAACTCGCGAAATTTCATTTGTTATTAAAATTGTTGAAAATAGCTATAAACAAATTATCATAAAATTGAAATTTCTTGGGTTTCAGGACCTTTCTTATAGCCTCCGTATTCCCATTGTCAAGTTTGAGCCGATTTGGTACACTCAGTTTGGAGAAAAGCTTAATAAACGATACCTCTTTGACGCCACTTTCATATCACCTTAAGGTGAAGTGAAACACACCGAGGAACTTGATCGACGTCGATAAAGAAGATTTTTCTAAATGCCTACGTTGCCGACGTTTATTTTTATATTGATAGCTGTATCGAATTATATTGGATATTGTACCAAATGGCATACTCCCCCTGTCGTTTTCGTACAATAAATATCAAGAAATCGAAGTGAAACTCCAAAAATCCTCTGGATTCGTGCTTCTGGGGCCCTAATTAACTATAGAGGGACACCCTGCGCCATCTGTGATTTCCAGTTCAATTAAATTTTCATTCCGAGACCTCGTATCCCCATCGTTTTAGCATAGAACCGCATACAACATTTTTTTTGCCTTTATCCCGTTGAAATGCAAGTTTATCGATTACCAGAGTGTTCTAAATTGTCGTAAAATTGTCCTGACCCTTTAGTTTCTCATATCAGAGCCTTTGATAATTGCATATTGATCGAAATATGAGAGCTCGATGCCATTTTGGTTTCTGGTCTGGGCTAAGTTAAAAAATATTTTCCAAAAATCCAAATTACGAATGTGTCAGGACAATTCTTAGCTTAGAAGTTTCGGACAGTTTGGTCTAATACCGTTAAGAAAAAGTGTTGTATTCGAATCGACTGATTTGAAGGGGGTTTCACTTCACCTTAATTCCAACTTTTTTTTCCTCTCTTAATGCACCGGGAATTTATATTTCAGAGACACCAGCGTGATCTCCAGCTCACTGCACCCTGGTTCGACGTCGATCAGCTTGTCGCCCTGGTACAACGGAGCACTTTATGCATCCGACTTAACCAACCCCATTGCATATCCCCTGGACCTGCATCAAGCAGCTGCAGTGTATGCAACCGCATTGGCCACGGCGAATTTGTTCGCGTCGCACACGATCCTTCAACAACCGGGAAAGATCTTTTCTGCTACTGGAGCCTGCGGCTCCGGAACAACCTCGCCTTTGTACGGATTGTACGCAGGATATCCGGGTATCCTGGAGTCGCCCTTTTGCGGGAGTGTCCTGCCGACTTTGCCGCCCGTTTCCTCGGCCCCAACACCGATTTCATCCCCCAGAGTCCTGGATGCACCCTCGAATTCAATTTCAGAGCGAGACGTGGTCCCTGCGTTGTCCTTCCTCCCTGGCGCCTGCAAGGACCTCGCCTCGACGTAACAAAGCGACCTAGACATTGTTGATACCCCTTGTTAATATTCATATTTTAGGCAATGTGATAAATTCAGGGAACAACTTCGTGCACATCTCCTCATTTTTCACATTGCCATGACGTATGCGTCACTCATAAATAAATCGGTTCCTACGATGCACCGAGTAGAAGCTCGACAGAGGTCGAAAGACAGAGAGCGATTCTCGCCACCCTTCCTCTGCAGTTATGTATTTATGGCTTCATACCTTCTGTATTTAAAGAGTAATTAAATGAGGAATAACGTTAGACATACTTTAGTGGGATTATTATCCACCAGCCGACTCTTGCGCCGTCCTGATATGGACACGGTGGAATCTGTACACTCCATTAGGAACCTAGAAGCAGTACGAGCATATTTAAATTAACCATCACCTTTCTACCCATTAAACCCATGGCTTTACCCATTTTAGGTTAAAACTAATACCCCGCAGCCTGAATTCCCAGGCGCAGCGTCCGGACACACTGCGCGATATCAATTATCGTTACTTAGCGGTAAAGCCGCACAATGCGCTCGTAAAGGCGGCGTTTAATGGCATTTTCTCGGTGCGCTTCAGAGGCGTGCGACTCCGCAAATGTACTTTTTACGAGCCCGGGGTGCGTATATTCGCCTGTGGCCGCCAATGGGAGAGGGGCATCCAGAAGTTGGCAGCCAATGGGGACTCGAGAAGGCCTCGCCCAGGAAAAGGGAAACGCTTTGGCAGCGCCGAATGTCTCAACGTGCGCGCAAATACGAGCACACGCGTGTACTAATGTACTCGCACTTATGCTCCGCGCGGTAACGGAAAGATAATCGCTTTTTCAGGTTTTAGTGCCGAGGCGGTCTCCGAGTTTTCCAGACGGAAATTGCGCTTTGTATTCATTACAAGGAGCTCCCGCGTACGCGGAACCGCGGCCTCTGGTTCGCAGCTGTAAACCCGTTCGTCCGTGGCGGCTGTAAATGTCTGTACTTAGCCTGTCAAAGGTGCCGACGGAGGAAATGACAGATCGCTTCAGCCTCTTCGACACGACACGTATTCGAATGGACTCGAGTAACGCGTCCTCCTTTTAAATCACCATCGAATCGTTCGCACCGATAGATAAGGGCTTATTTTTATTTCTGAGCTTAGACTCGGAAATAAAAGAGAATTCAATACAATTGTTGGCCAAAGATGGGCTACATGTTGTTCCACGAGGACGCGGACAATTTGGTTTTCTTTTCGAAACGTCGAATGCCAATTTTCCGAAACGTCAAGAACGAGAGAATAACGCATCTGCGAAAATGGATGTCGGAATACAAAGATGGATGCGAATAATGATTAATTGTAATTGAAGAACCTAGTGAAAAAACTTCTTAGATCGAGTCCCTTTCGTAATGGGAGAAATTAGGCTGTGTGAACCTGGAATCCAGTTTGACGCACAAACAAAATTAACAGGCTTGTTGGAATATTTCTGTGATGTAGACGTTTCTGGTATGTTGAGTTTTGTTTGTACCTTTTTTTTACAAAAACCAGAGCTGTAAAAAAAAATAAACAAATTCTGAAAATGACCTGCTTGAACCTTGAGCCATAGAAAAAAAGATCATAAAAATAGTGAAAGGGTAGATTTTAACGTTTTGAACTTCAATTTTGTTCACTGCCAAGGACTACTGCTATCGGTCCCAAAAAATTCTGAGCATAAACACTCCCGCGATTAACTTGCGTAAATTAATGCAAGCCACTTCAAGAACTAAGCCATGGAGGAAAATCTTGAAAATGGTCATTTTATCGTTTTCAAGGTTCTGGGAGGCTTTGAATTTTCCTAACGTCAGAGAACCCATTAGAATCGAAAATTCAAATTTCCACGATTTCGGAATTTGTTTATCTTTTTGAACAGCTCTGGTTTTATAATGAAATGCCGCAAACAAAACTCAACATGACACAATCGTCTACATCACGGAAACATTCCAATAAGCCTGTTAATTTTGTTTTTGCCTGAAACTGGATTCCAGGTTTACACAGCCGATAAATTATACCTGTTATCGTCACATGAGGTGAACTTCGGAATTATTGGCTGAATCTTTAGAAACGTGTCCGGAAATTTTTGGAGTATCTAAATTTATTGAAATAATCGGTTCGACTTTTTTATTCCGGGTACTTTCGTCGTTGTCGGCGAGTATTCGAATTCGCTCGGGTCCATGGGCTGGATGACAATGGCAGGAAGAGAGAAGTAGATCATTTCTCAAGAAGTCCAGGACCGGGGATCGGGACCTCGGTTGTTGGGCCTTAAATTAATCGAGCGAGAGGAGAATAAAAACTGGAGGCACGGCATTCAGAGGGCCGTGAGATACGGGTCAAAAGAGGAAAAAAAAATTTCAAGAGCGAGAGAGAGGGAGAGAGGAAAAGGTAGGGGAGGAGATGGAATATTAAATTATTCACAGCCAGTTACCAGCTCGTCAGAAGAGCCCGCCCTCTTCCAGTTTTTGTCCCTATCTTCCTTACCGACTTACTACCGTACCTTTACGTATGGCGTCGTCTCGCCTCGCGTTTCTCGCCCGGCTTCATTTATCAAAGAATCCTCCTTTGAATTCGAAACGTCCACCTTAAATACAACATTCATTGAAACGAGGCCCGACAACTATGACGCTTACCAAAGTCAATAGACCTACGAATTATGAATTATGAATTCCAGCCCTACCATAGTCCTACTTTGTCATCTGACTTTCTATATTTCCACCTCCTCTTCCGATCGATCCATCTCTCTTACTTTCAAAATTGCGACACCTTAATCCTGCCGTGAATAATTTTTATTCGACAAGAATCCGGAATTTCATTGCGGTGCAATAAGAAAGATAAAGAAAGAAAGTTGGTCTACTTGAAGGAAATATGCATCCCGACGACAACATTCTGCGACAAAATCTGCCGAAGGTTAACTAAATAAAATCTGTTTAAACGGACATGAATTTTTCTTCTCGACGAAACAATTGTTTCTTGCAATTGTAAATGATTCAGGCAACGATATATCGGTTACTAATCGTTAGAACTAATTCTTTTTCTCATGGTGATTTAAGAACAGTCGGTAAGGTTGAGGTATCGTAATTAAGCAACGACTTGGCGAGGGGGGAAAAAAAGATCGCTGAGAAAATCCTTGCGACAGGGAGGACTCGTTCTTCTGGGCGAGGGTCGGGAACCAGAAGAAGCTTCGACGGATCGAATCACCCCGGCGGAACGGTTCCTCGAGGGTGTAGTCGTGAGATTAATAAAAGAGGAGACCCAGGGTAAAGAAACGGTTCGCCAGGGAGCGGCACGGGCTTTGGTGCAGATCTTTTTCTGGAGCGAGCCTCGGTCAATCGGTAATCGTTGTTAGCAGCCGATGCAGCGATACTCCGCCCTGGAAACACGGCGAGCTTTTTTGCCGAGGACTCGATGAACCGTGGAAGCGGCTCGGTAACTTCGCGCCTCTCGCTCACTAATTCCACAGTGGGACCGGGTTGAAAAAAGCCCCGAAGAATGTGCCTTATCCGGCCGATGTATTGTTTGCGTGGGAGCGATCGTCCCGGTGGTCTACCGCTCAGAAGTCGCTCGTCGTTGTCTTCTATTTGCCCCGTGACCCTCCTGCGGCTTCGACTATTTCCGCAGGACACGCCTTGAAGAGGCCCTCACCCCTCCTCGACATGTGTTCCCCTAAAAAAAGAAATAAATGAAAAAAAGATATAGAAATCTCCGTTACCCGTCCGATTTCACCGATGTTACGGCATTTTTCGACGTATCAATTAACTTACGGGTGATCAAAGAAGCCTTGAATCCTTCGTATCAACATTGCCATCATGAAATTATGAAATTACCAATTATGACGCGTTCCCTAGATCCGCTATTTGAAGACCCTCACTGTTCTGAAAACGATGATCTTGGTAAAATTTTCGCCGATTAGAATAATGAACTTTGTGTACGGTGGTATTTTACGGGTATTTTCGAAGAGTGCCATTTTCGTTGTTCCGTTTTCAGGTTAGGTGTTCGACCTGACAAGAGGATCACTTTCGCGCTCGCGTTATTCATACATAACTCCGGGCTGCTAACAAGTGGCCTTGGAAGGAGCTATCCCTAACAGAGTTGCAGGTTCTTACGAAGATTTATTCCCACGAAAAAGCTGCGCCGTGCGCCATGCTAGTACTTGAATTATTACGAGTAGCTATTAACATCTTTCTTTCGACCTCTACACGCTGGCCTCTTAAAAAGCTCGGTCAACTCCGTATCCGCCGCACGGTACCGTGTTGTTCGGGGGGAGAAAAAAAGAAAATAGTTTTAGTGCCGAGTAGCCTTCTCGTCACGAGACAAGCCGAACAAAGTAGGTCTACCCCGGCGGCACTAATCCAGTTGACACGCTGTGTAAGCCGTAAACGCAGACTGGCTACCGTGGACCTCCTACGTTTTTGGAGCCCAACAGGAAGCCAGTCTTTCGTCACCGGTGATGCGCCATTTTCAGAACCCATGCGACGAAATCTTCATTTAGTCGCAACAAATTGTCCCCAAACTTCTCGCACGAACCGCATGATTCGATTCCTCTAGCCGTTTCACTATCTAAACCATCGTGAATCTAAAAATAAGGGGAATGAACGTCGAGTTAGATTCTAAACAAGGGTATGGCGGCTATCTTTCTTTCCTACGCACCTTTCTTAAAATACAATGAAGCGTTTGCTACTGGGTATATAAATGTACATCAAATGATATCATATAAATGTATATCAAGTCGTTTTTATATTTGTTCATAACCCGCCAGAACGGTAGAAAAGAAAGATGGCCGCCATTCGCTGCTTGAGCTTCCCCGCACAGCGTCATCTGACGTTTCTTTCTTTTTACAATTAGATCCCTGTGTTTCACACATCTCGAATCCTGGCTACGCCGTCTTTTTGCAGAACAAAGCGCAATCTCGTTGCTCACGATGAATGGCGATGGATACTGGACTGCTGACGGACACGCGTGTCTTGCAATTTGCTTTAAGCGATGCGGCTGACGTT